AGCGGCAGCAGCGGAGGTATGGCGCAAACACCAACAAGTCCGTCCATGCCTATGCAAGATGGACGCAACCATCAATCCCAGCAGGTTAAATCTGACAGCGATGTACCCATAGATCCCTCCATCGCGGCACCTAGCCCTACCTACGCGCCTCCCAGCCAATATTCGCCCTACGCACCGCCGCCGCAAGATATGTCGCATAACTATCCCCAAGGCGCCGGTAACCTATACGCGCAGCCACGGCCCGATTGGGCGAATTATGGGCATCCAGCACCAGGGCAGATGCCACACCCACACTCAGTATACCCTCACACGCCAACATCGAATGCTCCGGGACGACCAGCTCAGGTAGGTAATTTTTCTTCCCTTTCCTTTGGTGATGTTAGGGGTCGGCGAGTTTGTGCTAGACATAGCGAAGACACCGTACCTCGGAACATGTTGGATCGTGTAGATCACAGGTTTGTATCTGCGATCTGTTTGGAATGTACTAATTATGACGCGTGGGCGCTGGACGCTTTTTCTAATCCTATAATAATAATGTGAGGTAACTGATTTCATTGACAGTATGGTGGACAGCAGGTCTATTCGTTTGTACCTATCCCTGGAGCGCAGCAACATAAGCGACCTCGACGACGCTATGAGGAAATCGAACGAATGTATAAGTGTGGCTGGAATAACTGTGAAAAGGCGTATGGTACGCTTAATCATCTAAACGCACACGTTACGATGCAGAGTCATGGTCAAAAACGGACACCCGAAGGTATGATAACTATTAAACCCATTTTATATTCTTTTCTTTATTTATTCCGTTATGAAGAATGCATAACGAAACATAAGCTCTCAAAGAGGGGCGATAAGCTTTGCTTTAGAGTGCTTTAGGAGTATAGTATCTGCGATTCACTAGTTAACTGTGGGGGATATGCCGCTACCGTGCTAGGAATTGGCTGGGCCTCTAACCTAGTTTGTTCTAGATAAAGTCCAATAATGGTCTTTACTGTGAACCTAAATAGGTCAGATGTGCTAACTATACCAATTGTACAGAATTCAAGGAAATCCGAAAGGAATGGAAAGCCCGTAAAAAGGAGGAAGAGCAAGCTCGGAAGGCTGCAGAGGAGGCAGAACGTCAGCGTCATGTTGCTGCCGCCCAGGCTCAGAATGGAGGTGCCGACCCGCAAGCAGGCGATTCCAGCCAAGCGCAAACATCATATACAGCTAGCCGACAAGTTCAGCTCCCACCTATTGGATACCAGGCAGCTCAATACCCTGCGCCCCCATCGGGAGCTGTACCGCAGCAGCCGCTCCCCGAATACAGTCCCACGAACCACATGTATTCTGGTTACCAACAACCGGCATCACCTTACGGACCGCAGAATCAGAATATGTATAGCCAACGCGAATGAAGATGAGGGATTTCGTCAATGCTTCTCGGTGGCACCGGCTGCTAATAGGTAGCTGTTTAACCTCTAGAGTTGTCATTGCCGAAATAACTTGACTTCTTTTTTTCCCTTTTACACTAAAGAATGAGATTACAAAAACCAAAAAAAAAAAGCCTATAAAATCAGCTCTTTCTGCCCGGTGTACGATATGTAGTGACCCCCCGCAACAAAAACATACACCTTCTGATTCGATAGGATGGTAGAGATGGGGGTGCTTATGGTCATTTCTACGACAGCATTGCCTTGGGAGTATTACTTGCTTGAATCGGAGTGGATGATTCGCAGCAAATGCATTCTAATGACCAATATTGATTTCTCGCATAACAGCATCGGGGCCTCGGACGGGGGAGGGCGGGGAGACGAGCCTTGCATTTAGGTTGGGTGTCTGGGTGGGCGGGTTACGAAACAAATGATTGGAGCTTCTAGGCTCAAAAAATCAAGACATATTTGTGTCATGGCGCGGCTTTGTTTTAATGGTCGGCTTGTAAGGTGAAGAACTGCTCCCCACGGCTCAGGCTCCCGACATGCCTTTTCTTCCTCTTACATATTTTGCCGGGCGTGTGCGTGTACTTGCAGCGGAGAAGCAGTGTTCCTCGCGGAGAGGAGCATATTTGAGCCTCGTGTGCTCTCAGAGTTAGTTACACCTCTATTGAGACTGCGAAGAAGAGAATCTTTCGTTCTACGTTAGATACACGGATAATAATAACGTTGTATTTGCAAGAGGCTATCCAGTACTATTTTGTATTTTGTGTATTTTGTGTATTTTGTGTATTTTGTGAATCTTGTGAGGGTCTGTCCACTGTTATCATAAACGTTGCAATTTACCTATAGTTATATGATTTATTTATATTTGAATCTGTATGTGTACCTGTCAAGCTGTTCGGTAGAAGGTGGTCAAGTTATAAAAAGACGCACTATAATTTAGGGTACCTTAGTTTCCCTGTGACACCGTAGCCACGAGGCATCCATGTGGTTTAGTATATTGTAGACGAAGAGGCTTCCTAAGGCTACTAGTGAGGTGGTAGTAGGCAGGTAGGTCGGAATTTATTTTGGTGTGGTCGCACAAGCCGTTATATTTTTTTCTCCAAGCTAGATGCACAGCCGATCCCACCGAACCATTGTTACCTCATTCCAAGTCCTGTTCATGTTAGGTACTTTCTTCTTGTGACACCAAACTTACCGTTATTAGCCATGACGCTACTAATATCCATTACTAATATCCGGTGTACATACTACCGTATAGCTTATAAGTAGGTTAGGAGGTAGTCATCTTATTATGCATTCGTAGTTGGGTATAATAGGACGAAAGAATATTCTTAAGAAGCATTAGGTAACTATAGAATCTGGGAGAAGTAGTATGACTTTTAGTAGTTATGATGTACCTATATAACTATCAGATATATTAATACCAATGAGACAGGTGATGTTGTTTTAGACTCTTTCTAGAAGAGTTCTCGAGGGAGGGCCTAACGATTTGTGGGCCATGAGGCTTCCCCAGGCTGTGGTCGAGGCGAGACTGGATCTTTGGAACCAGTTTGAACTTATGTAGGTAGGTCTGCAAGCTTCGTTCTATTTAAATATTTGTCTGGTACGGTACCGGTACCTGTCGTGCGTGTACGTATAACTAAGGCATGTATGTATGTATGTATAGTCTGGGGGGCCATAGGACGCCCAGCCATGCGGCCAGCTTAGCACCAGGGACGGAACAGATAAGTGACAGACAGCATAAGCGAACCGAACTTTGAAACCCATGTCTTAAGTATGTAGCTACCAATCTACCTACCTAGCCCCGGTGGTGATTACTTTTTCTTTTCCCCGTCTGTCGGGACCGGCCTTACACTAGCGACGTTGCAAGCGTATATACTACATACATATATGTACATACATATTATGTACGTAGGGGTCCCGGGGAAAATCTTAAAATACTAGGTTTATACATAGGGGGGCTTTAGTTAGGTTAGGTAAGTAGATTCTACTATAATAGTGTAGATGGACTGGCATGAAGGAGGTTTTTGGTGTTGGTGTGGAAGACTGCGGTCAAACTAGACAAGGGGGTCTAGCGCGATGCGGGCGTCGTTGGCATATGGCACGCGCTCACGCACCCCGGCTGAACCAAACTTATACATATACAACTTAACTAATTAACTAGTTAACTATGCTTAAACCATACAATTTATTTATTTTTTCTTCTTCTTCTTTTTCTTCACGATCCTCGTTGGACCCTCACCCCCCCAGGTAGACCCAATGTGGCGGGCCGCTAATACCATAAAGGGTTGATGTGTTTCTAGGTTATTATTATCCGACTAACTACCTTATGTATATATATATGTAAGTACGTATGTCCATACCTAATGTATGTAGGATCTAGTGTAAGTAGCCCCCCGTATGCGGGCCGAGGAGACGGGGTCTTTTAAACTCGCTCGATGTAACCCTAGATAGCGCGGTGATGAGCGGCATGGAAAACGGACCGGGCCTGGTTTATTTTATTCATCATTTTTTATTCCGTCTTGTATTTTAGCGTTCGTCCCAGGCTAAGATGGGCAGGTAGCTGTTTTTTTATAGCTTGCTTCTTTTAATTTTAGTGTTTCCCTTTTAAGGATGGGATATAGGTACCTCTAGTATTATTATTATAGTTATGCGTATAAGTTGTCTTTTAAGATGGTTGCTAGCGTTGCCCCTTGCATTTACATACACATATTTCTACATTAGGTACATACATAAGTCTTTGTTATACAAACGGATAGGCGGACTTATAAGTCTTATACATCTCCCTTATCCACTTTCTATATCTAGCAACTACCTATCTTCAGGTTAAGTTTTTTTAATGCCTATCATGTATTATATTACACCACAGCCATGAGGCTCTATTGGGTCAATATGAGTAAAAGAGCTCCGGACCTTTTTACTGGCTGCAGATGGCGTCAACCATTGCTTACTGATGTGTCTTAATAAACCCTCATAGTGTAGCATCGATCACGATAATACCTTCGATCCTTTTAACACAAGCACAATATCGAGTTGATCACTTTTTAGAGGCCAAGAATGGCGATCATTCGGCATATCCAACCGAAAATAAAAAATGGGAAATTACCTATCGTTATCGTACATGTTATCGATTTAGTCCTACCTACTTAAGTCTATTCTTTCACGATCGTGACGTCTGATGAGGCGGTTACCCTAGGCGTTATAGATATGCGATATGCGATAGGTATGCGACAAGATTGAGGCGTATGACGTAGCCAGAATACGTAGCCAGAATACGAGTTTTTGTTTTATTATAGTTAATCTTAATCTCTCTCGTGCCTCCTTCAGTCCTACCTATCAACGTCATTCTGCTTAGGGAAGGACCCTGAGAATCCCTTTACCCTTAGAAACTTCTCATCATTTCTATCCTCAAAAATATGTTAGGGACGCTCCTTAAATGTTTTGTCCCCTGGGCGGTTTTATTTAATATTAATCTGTTTAGTTAACGACTTGGCGACTGAATTCCGGACTTACCACATACTAACACATATTTGTGTATTTTCCAGTATCGTGGAATTATCATATTAGATCACTTAGTGAATCATGCCGGCTGCGGGAGTCTCGTCAGTCTCTTCCATCCCGGGTTTAGACCCACCAAATGTCACATCAATGCCGGGTAATTGTGGAGAGACGATCGATTTCTATCCAACTTCAACTTCTAAATCAGCTTCGAACCCGATAGGTTTGCGCTCCGTGAAACAATCCAAATCCGTCGAGTCTCTTCCTACTATCGGTACTTTACCCCTAGGCTCTCTTCGAATCACTGAACCTAGAGAGGACTCGGATCTGGATACGCCACTTACTACTCCTGACGTCGTCATGGAACCACCTCTGGAGTCTAGACATACGTTCCCTACGAGTGGCGATGTCCTCATCCTAGATGATCTTCCCGCAGGCTTTACTATAGGCTGCGACACGATGTCTTTCTCGACGAAGAAACCCTTTCCGGGGTTTCGCGATATCCCGCCGGGCGCGCATCTTATCTGGGTTGCCCCCTCCGAGCTGACGTCGTCGCGGAGCGCGTATTGGATAGTTACTCCCGAGAGAGAGGAATGGGAGCACGGCGAGATCTACGTCAAGCAGTGGGACAAATTCAACGAAGTCCTCAGCGATCCAGCCAGTCAAGCTGAAGATAGATTCCAAAAAGAGGCGTTGCAGCAGATTTTTAGCAGCCTCTCGCCTTATCAACTCCGGGCTACTACGTCCGGAGTGCTCCTCGCACCACCCAGTCGAGACACTGAGCATCTTCCGTCCTTCTTAAACAACGAGAACATATGGTCTCAACTCACATCGGCGATCAATGCAGATCTCCTGAACAGAATCACGGGTAAGACCCAACGAAGCTGGCAGATCACCACACAAGACAGCGTCGCCGGAGAGACGACCTTAGCCGAAGAAGCCCGCCTCTACGCCAGCGGCAAATCCCAGCTCCGCTTCACATTCTCCATGAACGCACCTCTCATCAGCCCCAAAGCGTCCGGCCAGGAGCGCACGCGCCAGGCCCTCGATCCAACTCCCTTCGTGCTCGAGACGTTAGACAACCGAAAACTCGAAGACCTCGCAGGCGAGCTCTCGTTCGCGTTCCTATCCGGAATGCACCTCGGCAACTACTCGTGCCTGGAGCAATGGTGGTTTTACACCACGCACCTTATTTTCCGATGCTACGCCCTCGCCACCGCGCAGCCCCAGCTCGCACGGCGCTTGATACAGACGTTTCACGCACAGCTCGTGTACAACGACCGGCACCTCGAGGGCGACGTGCTAGAAATGATGCCCTCGAACGCGCGCAAGCTGCAGCGCTCGCTAACCACATATGCGTCGCGGCTAGACGAGATGTTTCAAGCTCTAGGCGACGACGTCACGCCCGATCAGCATCTAGTTCGAGACGCGTTTGTAGATCTAGAGGCCTGGCTGAATAGTCGGCTGGGCTGGGACTTGAGAGCTGAGTATTTGCGCGCGGGCTCGCTGATGTTGGAGGATGGCGAGATGGTGAGTGCGGAGATGTCGGATTTCGAGGACGAGGATGAGAGGGGCGAGTTTGCGCCTGTGATGGTGCAGTTGGATGATGTTGGTAGGGAGGCTGGGCTTGTGTCGTGGGATACGTAGGATGAAAAACAGACTCGGTCTAGACATGGGCGGAGGGATAGGCGTTGGCATATTGGTTGTGTTGTATCATGATGTATATCTTCTACGACGCTCACGAATGGTCTTGTGCCGCTTTTAGCATTACTAGTAATCATACAGGAACTATAGAAAAGCAAGTTCCTGGTAGAGGTTTGGTTTACACCCGATTCTTCTGTATAGCTCAGGGCATCGGATGTACTACGAATGTATGATATATACACCTTGTTTATAAGCATGAGGGCTGAAATGTAAAGAGACTTGTTTCTTCTGCTAAATAGGGCCAGGCGAATTAAGATACTACACTTAAGGACGTACCTCACTAAAGTATTACAAGAATTTGGATCGACTATTCGTTCACTTGGTCATTTTGCATGAAATCATTAAGTTGAAGTCCCGAGCCAGCACGCTTTTACTTTTGTTTGTTTGCAGAAAATGTTGTCGTTTCATTCGCCTAATCCCTTTACAACCAGGCCATGCAAATGCATCGATAATAAAGAGAAGAAGGCATCAGTAGTAGAGATAGCCCTCGCAAGAGATTCCCTTTTCTTAAGACTCCAGAGGTACGACCACCGACCATAGTCGTCCCAATACGTTGCAATACGTTGCGCGCGCAAAAAAAAAGGAGAAGAAGACCCGAGCGGCCACCGTCTTTTTTTCCACAAAACGATCCCAGCTGCTTCGTCCTTCCCTTTTCTTCTCCAACCACCATAACATCCCCAACCCCCGCGGGTATACCGTCGAGGATTCGTTTAACGGTAGGACTTCTGGTATCTGGCACGGGCACCGGGACCGCCGAACTTCTTGGGCTCGCACCGACGGTTGTCGGCGACGAGGAGGGTTCGGTCGTACTGGGCGAGGGCCTGCTTGAGTAGGTTCTTGCTGTGCTCGTCGACGAACTTCTGGTAGTAGGCGATGAGAGCCTTGGAGATGGCCTGGCGGACGGCGTAGACCTGCGAGGTGTGACCACCACCGGTAACGCGGACGCGGATGTCGACCTGGGCGAACTTGTCGAGGCCGATGATTAGGAGAGGCTCGTAGACCTGGATTTGTGTTAGTTTTTGTTTTAATTTTTTTTGTTATATCTCCTTCCCCGGATATTTGTTGGATTTCAAGACGAGGGTTTCAAAGTTTAATTGTTTTTTAAATGATAGGATTCATGAGTAGATTCGATGATAGAGAAATTGGATATGCGTATGAGGGGTATCGTGTTCGAGAGATATTCGTTTCGTACCTTGAATCGGAGAACCTCAGGCTGAACCAGAGAGAGCGGTCGGCCGTTGACCTTGATGAGACCTTTACCGGCCTATAATATAAAATCTCGTTAGTAAATCTAGTGCATTAAAATAGCTCTTCATCTCTTTTATCCATTGGCGACGGCGACAATGATAGCCTATCCCATTCCATCTCACTTCTTTCTCTAGTTGACCAAAAATATAAAAACGAACCTTGCAGTGGGCGACAGCAGTAGCCGTCTTCTTCTTGCCGAAGCACTGGACGCTTTGGGTAGACATGGTTGCGGATTTGTCTGAATGTGGTGGTGGATGTTGAAGGTATTCGCAACCGAAAATGCCTAGGCTTCAACGAGAGGGTCAATCGAATTGGTGATGGGGGAGGAACAATTTTCGCGTCTCTTTTGCCGAAATGTCGAAAAAGGGTTTGTGCCCTTAAAATGCGCTAGAGCTGTTTTTGGTTGAAGGTGAGCCTCTAAGGTGAAGTGAGGACCGAAGAATTTCCGGTGGGGCATTGAGGTAGGTACTTAAGTAATCATATTATATTACCTAATATTATATAATCATTCAAAGTTTAGGTACGTACCAAACCTTAGGTACCTCTATATGTAAGATGTACATATGTACCTAATATTCAACATCACGAAGCTACAACTTGGCCTCTTTAGTAAATGATATTAGCAACTACTCTCCTTTTTCTATAAAACTAAACTACCTATATACCCTATTACGTAGCCATGCAAGCTTCCTTTACCCTATAAAATATCTACATATTCCTTAGTAATACGAGCATAAACCCCTTCACGTGCTTGACTAGAAGTCTATACCTCAACTCAACCTACGTAGGTAGTGACCAACGGAAGAGTTAGAACGTATAACTGTTTCCGGAATTACCTAATTCTCTCAAATCCTCCTTTAGAGACCAGATCATATATAAAGAGTAATCTTCAACCATGTCTCGCAAAGGCGTCGGCCTCGCCGCCTTCGACCGCTCCCGCCTAACATCAGCACAATTCGCTTCCCACGGGAACTCCTTACGATCACACGACGCGCAGGCTCTCGAAACTCAACTCTCCGTTTTCCGTTCTCTCCTGCAACAGTTCGCGCAGACCCACGCCAAGGACATCCGGTCAGACCCGTCCTTTCGGGCGCAGTTCGCGCGCATGTGCGCCGCCATCGGCGTAGACCCATTAGCGTCCTCCTCCCACGGCAGCAGCACCGGACCGTCCAGTCTATGGGCGCAATTGTTAGGGCGCAGCGTCAACGATTTCTACTTCGAGCTTGCGGTGCGCGTGGTCGAGGTATGCGGGGCCACGCGCGGCGAGAACGGTGGACTGATCGGCGTGCGCGAATTGCGCGAGCGGTTATCCCGCGGGCGTATGGAGGGCGCTCCTGAAATCGCGGACGACGATGTGCTCCGAGCTGTCGGGACCCTGAAGCCGCTTGGATCGAGCTACTCCGTTGTGCGCGTGGGGAGTAAGCCGTATATTCGTTCCGTGCCCAAGGAGCTGAATACGGACCAGAGCGCTGTGCTCGAAGCCGCGCAGGTGCTTGGGTATGTGAGCGTTTCGATGCTGATGGTTAATCTGCGCTGGGCGAGGGCACGCGCGCAGACGGCGGTGGATGATCTCCTGGGCGAGGGCATGCTCTGGGTTGACAAGCAGGCTCCTGAGTGGGAGTATTGGAGCCCGGGATTCATGCTGGATGCTGATGGTGGAGTTGCGGCTGGCGGGTGAAATGATATCTACGGGACTATCCTCACCGGGTTGGATGCTAATATATAAAGGCGTGAGACATAGATGACAGACTACACGTCTTTACTAACTTGGTCATGGTCATCTTAACTGTACCGTCTGCCCGTAGATCCTGGTTCTACGAGGCGCTTTCAATGTTAAGGAGGAATGACTGACGCAATTGATTGTTGAACCAGAAGACAGAGCTGATCTTGCATGGCATTGTATGGCTATCTCTAGTCGTATGGGCACGAGTTAGACTATTAGGGAGTTTTATTACTCGCGGCTCAAGGCCACATACTCCTGTTGGCGTAGTCCCCTATTACGTGTCTAGTAATAGTGGTGTCGTGCTGCTGTGGGGACTTGGAGATCTTATGATAGCAACACATTATGATGATCTCCCGACAGAAATGCGGTGGTCAGAAATATTCTGAGAGGTAGATATCTAAAGTTCTAAGATAGACATTGCAATGACCTGATATTTATGGTGTAAATATCGCGGTTAGACTATAGTAATAAAATATATGCACGTAATAATAAATTAACCAAATACGATAGACTCTGGCGCCTAAACAAAAGGGATATCTCAACTAGCTTCTTCAATAAATATCTATATGGGCTTTAAAACCCGACGAGCCCTCGACGAGCCCTATATGAGCTGGGTATGGACAGAGCCGCGCGCCTCTGGCGACAATACCGATGAGAAAACACCAAACTCCTATCCAATGCAATCCCGCTCCGCCTCACCCACAAAGGAATTAACCCATAAAATAATTGACACTTCAGCACGCCTGGGGATGTATTAATGTGAATGTAGTTTTTTCAGTCAAGCAACGCCTGCTTTAGTTGTTGGTCGATTGGTCGACTCTCGAGGTATCGCTATGCGTACTCTCGTAGTCTGTACCTGATTCTGGATCTGAAACCCTTCTCCGCTTCTTCCGTCCGAAGAACTCTCCTAATGTACTACTCAGGCTGCGCGCTCGTCCTCGGACTGTTTTGCGGTCGCTTGGCAAGGGGTCGTCCTGGTAGGAAAGTTCCTCATCGTCGCGATAACCTTGAAGAAGAGGTTCGGCTGCTGAACTGATATCGTCTTCACTATGGGGGACGAATAAGCTCGATCTAATGCTAGGCCTTGCTCGTCGAATTGACCTTCTTCGGCCACCTGGATTCTCTTCGCCACGTAAGAGAGCATCAGCTACCACGGCGCTGACGGTTGATGACAGCGGTGATGGAGAAATAAAGGCATTAGAAAAGTGATGGCTGTGTGGTCTGGAGGTCTGAGAAGCACGTGGAGTTGTTGGTCGATCCGGAGATGATGGCGAGACGACCGGCTGCGGAAGACTCATAGTTGATTGAAGGGGTTCTGATATAGCGGCAGAAGCTATCGAATATACCGTTGGGACACTATCCGCTGACGATCTAGGTGGTAGTCCTGGATGGAATGATTGATCCTCAAGAGAGTTTCTCCATGGGTTATCAAGTAGTGGTGATGCCTCGACTGGGGTTGGGAGAAGAGATGTTCTCGAAGCTGATGCGTTGTGTTTGTTGATTGAAGGGGCTTTGCTCTGCGGGCGAGGCAAGGGTTTGGTACTTGCGCTTGAATAACCGTTTCGCGAGATGTACGACGGACGCCTTGATAGCGGTGAAGAAGTTGGTTGCTGTTCGTCTGCTCTAGGTTGCTCAGCTCGGTCGGTGTAAGACCCGGACGCTTCTTGGTCTCGGAGACCAATAGTCTCTTCCACATTTTCGTCATCCGATAACTCATCCGTATCTTCCTGCCGCGGCCGGCCGCTTGTAATGAGGAAGACACCGAAGAAGGTGAGAAGACAGCCACCAATGAATTTGACAGCCTGCTGTGCCGTTGTGCGCTCGAAATCTCGATACAGAATAGCACTTCCGATAATTACAGACAAAGTAAATAGTACAAACTGTATAGGTATAACCTGCGTGGAATCGAACCGTTGTAGTGCCTTGTTCACGTATCGGACTTGCATAACTGCGGTCCCTAGTAGGATAATTATAAGGCCGTATGTCACCGGGGTAGTAAATGCTTTAAAGAGGGTTGACGAAAGCATCGAAGAGACACCCTTGGTTGTTAGAGCGGTATATCCCCCTTTTTAACTTTTGGTTAGCACCGAGCTTTCTATAAGGAATCCATAAGGAAGAAAACCATATAAACTTACCAAATAGTCCAACAAGTCCTAGGTCAATCAGGATTGTCCTGTTACCATACCTTGGACTTGCCCACATTAGAATTATAATAAGTAGAATAGAGATGCCCATATAAATCTCGAATGCTAGCGTCGTGATTGCATCCCAAACGTCGTGCGGATCCAACTTTGTCTCCTCTTGCTTAGCGCTTAACACGACCGTGACAGCACCACCAACAGCGATTACTACACCCCAGAAGTCGCGCTTCCGGAATCTCTCGCCAAAGAACATAGGCGCGATGACGCAGTTTGATATTAGGGCTACGACGCCCAGCGGAGACACGATCGAAGCCGGCGCAAATCCGTAGGCTAGAAAGTTGCCCATCTCGCCAACTGTCATGAGGACCTGGCCTGCCCACCAGGAGGGCGACTTCAGATATGTCGAAGAAACATTGGGATCGTCGCATGATCGCTCAGTCATGTTAGAATCGACCGATTGTATCGACTGGGAAAGTGGATGGACATCTGCCGTGTTGGCTGCTTCGTCGCTATTATTCTGTGCGTCGCCGATAGATGTTTCAGTTGTTCCGTAGCCATTATGATGTCCATTCCTCGCCTTTTTTAGTGCCTCCCTCGCTCGTTCCCGTGCCTCGACTCTTCGACGGTGGAGTTGAATATGCGAATATCTCTGGACATTGAGCGCTAGAGCGATTAAGACATTGCCTGATATTGCTGTTATAATACCGATGAGAGAGCTCCATTCACCCAGATTCGACCCATTCTTATGATCATTTGTCGTATCGTCCACGGCCCAACCCATACTGATATTGGTTCTTTCGGCCGACAAGCTCGACATTCGTGTCTAGAGGGCCACAGCGGGCAAGGCTTAGGTAGCAATACCGTAGTATTCTATGTCGTAGAGAGTTGTCAAATAGAAGGTAGTGGTCCTCGATTGGCAACAATTAAAATGCGCCAGATTATTACCGGGTTTTCCGTGAATACCAGCTGCGAAAGGGTTCATCGGGCTGAACCTAAAGCGGGTTTATAAGTAGCACCTCACGTCAGAAAAAGGAAGTTCATTAGATGATAGGTAAGAGGTAGGTAAGTAGGTAAGTAATGGAGAAATGTTCATTGATCAGTGTAGTTGGGGTTCTTGCACACCCCCTCTAACAAGTCTACCAACTAGGAAGACAAGTAGTATATGTATGGCGATTGGTTTAGTAAATACAGGAAATACAGTAAAGTATTGGTTGGATTCTTTTAAATAGATAGGTAACTACCTAGGTTTAAAAAAGAATAGTTATATAGAGAGTGAGAGTGAGAGAGAGAGAGAATAGATTAAAGCTAGCGTCTTACAAAAATGTCTAGCTACATTGACGCGAATTAGGCAAGTACAATTCACTACACACATCTTTAAGCGCAATGGGGATGCTAATTGCGATTTTGATATTACCTAATATTACCTAAGGATATATATAAGTTACATTAAGTACCCATAGACCTAGAATTATATTACAAGTTACAAGCACAAGATTTTCGTCATCATGCAGCCAGTTCCATAGGCGCATAAAGAGTCTCCACCCTCATTAGCTCAAGCTCAATGCTTCAATACTTTATTTAGCTTCGTACATCTACATAACATAGTCAGCCTTGTGACCCTCTAACTCATTTCCACTCTACAATCTTCAATTTTACCGTCTCAACCTAATTTTTATACTATAATGAGCGACGACGAGGACATCCAAATCGAAGGGCCAACCATAGCCGACGATGATCCCATGCGCGCATTCTTGCCCACTTCATTTGGGAAAAAACATCGGGAGGCTGACATTGCCGCGCAAATCGACCGAAGCAGGAGAACCGCCGATGAACCAACAGTACAAAAAGCTAAGCCTCAGGAATCGGACTCCAACAACACAAGCGACAGCGAGAACGACTCAGATGATGATTCAGATGATGAGGACGAGTATCCGACTTCTCACGAGATGGTCATTAAGACCCATGATCGTGCTGTTACCTCGCTTTCGCTAGATCCGGCAGGCGGCCGGCTAATATCAGGATCTATCGATTGCACTGTCAAGCTCCACGATCTTTCCTCCTTAACCCCGACCACGATTCGTGCTTTCAGGAGCGTCGATCCTTACGAAACTAAACCATCGTCTGCAAGCACGGAGTCACACCCGATACATCATGTCGAGTTTAACCCTCTCGCTGGAAGTCTCTTCCTCTGCATATCAGCACACCCCCAAGCCAAAATCCTGTCTCGAGATGGAGACATTGTCACCGAGTTTGTCAAAGGCGATATGTATCTTCGAGATATGAACAATACCAAGGGTCACGTTTCCGAGGTCACAACAGGTACGTGGCATCCTACAGACAAAAATCTATGTGTCACGGCTGGGACGGATAGCACGTTGCGTATATGGGATATCAACAATAAGCGCAGCCAAAAGGAGGTAATAGTGTTCAAGTCAAAAGCTGCAGGTGCTGCAGGTAGGACACGAATGACTGCCGTCGCTTGGGGTAGTCCAGCCCAGGGAGGCAATAACGTCCTTATATCTACAGCTCTAGATGGTACACTTGTGATGTGGAGTGGAAACGGCCCGTTCACCCGACCCGCTGGTGAGATCAGAGAAGCTCATAAACCGAATACCTGGACCGGAGGGATAGATATCAGTTCTGACGGGCGAATGGTAGTCACAAGGGGCGGCGACAACCTGATCAAATTATGGGATACGCGGAAGTTCAAAGAGCCCCTTGTCACGGTTGAGCATCCATCTACGTCGGATCACTACCCGACTACCAATATTAAATATGCGCCAAACTCTACTAGTATCATCACTGGATCGGCAACGGGCCATCTTCACATACTGAACCCGGGGAATCTGCGCCCCGAATATACTACACTTGTCACGCCCGGGTCGCCTGTGATCACTGTAGACTGGCACCCAAAAATTAATCAAATCGTCACTGGCTCTGCAAATGCAGAAACGCATATCTTATACAATCCTACGATGTCAACACGAGGTGCAGTAGACGTCATGTCACGCGCGCCGAAGAGACGGCATATAGATGACAATCCAGAGTTTACTACCGACCAATCCCTTGGACTCTCCGGGGATGCAATCATTACCCCTGGTACTCTGCCAGGCACTAAGAAAACGGGTATTACGGCATCTGGAAAGTCGAAGGATCCCAGGAGACCACACGTCCCTCAGCAGACACCATTTATGCGGAGTCAACCTGACGAAAAGCATATTTCTGAGAATATTCCATTAAGTCGCATGTTGCACGAGGATCCCAGAGAAGCGCTTCTGAAATACGCAGACCTAGCAAAAAAAGATCCCGTATTTACGAAGGCCTGGAAGAGCACACAGCCAGTGACACAATACGCCGACGTGAGCGACGAAGAAGAAGATGGCCCAGAAAAGAAGAAGGTCAAGAGATGATAAGATATCCACTTAACAGAGTGATGTGCCAAGGTTCTTTAAAGGTCCGGCTCCTAAAAGATAGCTTCCCTTCAGGGCTGTTTATCCGAAAACCACCTAGGTCGCCTTTATAAATTTCATGAAGCTTATCCGCAGGACTGGGTAGGATCTCTAGCGTCCCATACAGGAAACCTATGAAAGGTAGGCCCATAGATCGACAGGTCAGACTATCCAATTAGTAAACGGAAGCAAAAAGAGGCTCTTAGTAACCGTATTATTTAGATATAACTAGGACACGCTATGTTTGACTTTTAGGAGGGTTGTTGTCTGTAAAACCTAGAGGTTCACGGCATTAATACCAAGAATACAAACTACATGATTGGAATGGACAAGCCCGACAAATAGAGTAATTCTTGGCCTTGTCATGCTTTGTTTATTGAGTATCTAGTTATTGAATGTATTAACAGTACACTGATCTAGATACATACCCGTATGTAATAATGTATATACTGAATAGTACCAACATTTATTTTAAACCAATGAAAATGCTTTGAGCGGTACGCACTGACCACTTTGTTAGTAAGAAACTACAAGGGTTAGACGGGCTATTATTATACCGATTGGTCGGTTTCTGGGCTGGGGTCGCTAGTGCATTTTTCCCTCAGGTGACAGGCAAAAGGGAGATGGACTTGTTTGTGCGGTTGTGCGCCTTTCATCAAACCATCTCTTTCCACGCCATCAATCGCGCATCGAAAAAAGCGAGCCGCATCACCCATCCCCGTCTAAATTCATCGACAAGTATCCGGAGTGACCTCCAATTTTTATTTTACGCGATTTTCTCGCCGAAAACAGCCCCCCTCTACCGTCTTTTTACGCGCTCTCAGCCAACCACCTGCCTTTGCACCCCGTTGGCCGTTGTCCTTTTCGACTCACGTCCCCCCCCGCGCGACCGCGAAGGCGAAAAAAAGGCAGAATTCCCTACTTTACTGCTGATCCCCACCGCGTTTTCTTTTGGCATTCCGGTAAACGACACCGCGCGCCGCGACCGGAATCTTCGCGCACCCTAACGTCTTCCGTCATTCCCAACCTAATTTTTGCTTCCGGGCAATTCCTGTTCGGCGCAACACCACATATTGATTTCGGGCTGAGGCCTGCGACGTGCTGGTTAATCAACACCGGCGTCCACCACCATTTTTCATCACCAACCAACCTTCAATATAGTCGCTCTTTTAATACGGTTGAATTTAGTCAACCTCAGGGCCTCGCATAATACCATACCGTCGTTGCAATCGTGCCTTAGATATGAACGCCTCATAAAGTGGTTAGGAGAATAATAAAACTTGTTAGGATCCATATCGAGTTTATCCTCGAGTTAGTTCAATATGGCATCTGTTCAGGCCCCTCCTACCGTCCACCACCCTGGTTCGTCGGTTATGTCGGCGCAGATAAACCAAAAACAGATCCAGGACATGTACACGGTTCGTGACCCCGTCAATGTGCCTTACGTTTGTGCTATGTTGAGGACGATCCTATTATCCATCTTGTACCTTCCATATACTAACAATGATATAGAAATATCAACAGATGAAGGAACAAGGCGTTCCGCAGAACGACCCCGAGTTTGTGAAGACGAGTCAATTCTTGATGAACTTCCAACAGCAGCGATTACGCAAACAGCAGAGTTATCTACAGATGCAGACCGCGCAGATGGCACACAATGCTCCTAATGGCAACGCCAATGGAACTCAGCCCGGTCCGCGACCACAGCAACAACAGTCCGCCCCGCATACTACGCAGCCTCCCTCGTCAACTGCTTTAAGCACTTCTGCATTACCTTCCAGCGCAGGACCCACCGCCCAGCCAACCACGTCTTCGCCTTCGACGGCGTCTCCAATGGCCCAATTCTCTCCGCAACAGCTAGGGCTCCTTAGGCAACAGATCCAGGCTTTCAAGTTGCTCAGTAAGAATACCGGGGTACCATACCAGATGCAACAGGCATTAAATGCACAGCGCCAACGAAGGCAGGCAGTTGCTGAACAATCGACTCAGCCTCCTGCTTCGACTCCAGCTGCTGCAACCCCAGTACCCGAGCCGGCAAAGGCTGGTTCTGCTCCTCCTGATGGGGATGTTGAGTCTGAAGCTTCATTACCTAAGGGCCGGACTTTCAAGACAATTAAATCCCCGTACGAGGGTGGTCTTGTCCGCAAGGACATCAGCTATTATGACCATGGACAACGAAAGCAGCGACTTATCATCCCTAGCATATTCCCTACTGGGGTCGACTTTGAACAATTGAGGCATGAACGAGAAATCATAATCTTCAATCGCATGAAGGCAAGATATGCTGAGTTAAAGTCTCTACCCGGGAATATTGCCCATTGGGACACTATTAAAGAAAGCCTCGATCCTGATGACACATTGAAAAGAAAGGCTATTATAGAGTTGAAATCTCTCGGGCTATATGCCAAGCAACGCGCTTTACGCGAGAAAATCGGTCGCCAGATGATGCATTATGACAATCTAGCAATGACTACAAATCGTAGTCAGTACCGACGGACCAAGAAGCAAAGCGTGCGCGAGGCTCGTATCACCGAGAAGCTTGAGAAACAGCAGCGAGATGCCCGTGAAAGTCGCGAGAAGAAGAAGCATATCGACTTCCTTCAATCAGTGCAACACCATAAGGCCGAGATTGCTAGTTCAGCTCAGTCTGCCAGGAGCAAGATGTCGAGAATGGGAAGAGCTATGCATGTGCACCATTTCAACATCGAAAAGGAAGAGCAGAAGCGCATCGAGCGTACTGCTAAACAGCGTCTTCAGGCGCTTAAGGCTAACGATGAAGAAGCTTACCTTAAGCTCCTTGATCAGGCGAAGGATACTCGTATCACGCACCTTCTTAGACAAACCGATGGGTTCTTGCATCAGCTAGCATCTTCTGTTAAGGCACAGCAGCGACAAGCTGCAGAACGTTATGGTGACGAATTCTTGCAGGATGAAGAGAGCGAAATTGACGAGGAAGATGAAGAGGCCGGCCGCAAGATTGACTACTACGCCGTAGCCCATCGTGTTAAAGAAGAGGTTACAGAGCAAGCCAATATCTTGGTCGGTGGTACTCTCAAGGAATACCAGATTAAAGGATTGCAATGGATGTTGTCACTTTACAACAACAACCTCAACGGTATTCTTGCCGACGAAATGGGTCTCGGCAAGACGATCCAGACAATCAGCTTGATTACTTACCTCATTGAGCGCAAGCTTCAGCGAGGCCCGTATCTTGTGATCGTACCTCTAAGTACTTTAACAAACTGGAACCTGGAGTTTGAGAAGTGGGCTCCGTCTGTCAGCCGTATCGTCTACAAGGGACCCCCGAACACACGAAAGCAGCATCAAGAGAAGATTCGCCAAGGGAAATTTCAGGTTTTGTTAACAACATACGAATACATCATTAAAGATCGCCCGATCTTGAGTAAGATTAAGTGGTTTCACATGATTATTGACGAAGGACATCGTATGAAGAACACCAATTCAAAGTTGAGTGCTACGATTTCTCAGTACTACAACACTCGGTTCCGTCTCATCCTCACCGGTACTCCTCTTCAAAATAATCTGGGTGAATTGTGGGCAATGCTCAACTTTGTGCTTCCGAATATTTTCAAGTCGGTCAAGACGTTCGATGAATGGTTCAACACCCCGTTCGCAAATACCGGCGGGCAAGACAAGATGGAACTGAATGAAGAAGAACAGATCCTCGTCATTCGCCGTCTTCATAAAGTGCTGCGACCGTTCCTACTTCGTCGTCTCAAAAAGGATGTCGAGAAAGACTTGCCGGACAAGACCGAGAAAGTCATCAAGTGCAAATTCTCTTCCCTCCAATCTCGTCTCTATAAGCAGATGGTCACGCATCAGAAGATTACGATCAGCGACGGAAAGGGTGGCAAGACCAAAACTCAAGGTCTTAGCAATATGATCATGCAGCTCCGAAAACTCTGCAATCATCCTTTTGTGTTTGATGAGGTAGAGAACCAGATGAACCCTACAAACACTAGCAACGATCTTCTTTGGCGAACAGCAGGTAAATTCGAACTGCTAGATCGAATTCTACCGAAGTATAAAGCCACGGGACATCGTGTCTTGATGTTCTTCCAGATGACTGCGATTATGGACATCATGGAAGATTTCTTAAGATACCGCGGAATCCAATACCTGCGCTTGGACGGTAACACTAAATCTGACGAGCGATCGGATCTTCTAAAGGCCTTCAATGCCCCGGACTCGCCGTATTTCATGTTTTTACTGTCCACTCGCGCTGGTGGTTTGGGTTTGAACTTGCAAACTGCCGACACTGTCATCATCTATGATTCGGATTGGAATCCTCACCAGGATCTACAAGCTCAGGATCGTGCCCATCGTATCGGTCAAAAGAATGAAGTTCGTATTCTCCGTCTAATTACCTCGAATTCGGTTGAGGAGAAGATCTTGGAACGAGCCAAATTCAAGCTTGATATGGATGAAAAAGTTATCCAAGCCGGTCGATTTGATAACAAATCATCGGAGACTGATCGTGATGCCATGCTTCGGACGCTGTTGGAGTCTGCAGATTTAGCCGAGTCTGGTGAACAAGACGAGATGGATGACGAAGAGTTGAACATGATCCTTGCGCGAAGTGAGAATGAAGTTACCGTTTTCCAACAAATTGATGAAGAACGTGCGGCGGATCCTCTATACGGCAACGGTCCAGGTTCGAAACGCGTTCCGCGACTCATGGTCGAAGCCGAGCTTCCAGACATCTATATGACAGATGATAATCCTGTTGGTGAAGAGCCAGAAGAGGTCTTGGGTCGTGGTGCGCGAGAGCGGACCCGAGTTAAATATGACGATGGCCTTACTGAGGAACAGTGGCTAATGGCTGTCGACGATGACGATGACAGCCCAGAGGCAGCAGCGGCGCGAAAACAAGCCAAGAAAGACAAGCGTGAAACAAACAAACTGAAGAGGATAGCGGTACTTAACAATGTTTCGGGCGCCAACTCTCCGAATGCGAGCCGTGCGAGCACTGAAGAAATCGAAACGCCACCCAAGAAGCGTGGTCGCAAGCCTGGTAGTAAGAACGAGAAACGAAAGGCTGAAGATGATGACGGCGAACCGCCTGCTAAAAAGCGACGCGGGCCTCAAGGGCGCCCAAGAGCGTCGATGGGTAACGGTAGTGATTCGCGTCTTGGCTCCGAGTTACGGCAAGTTCTTCAGAAGAGTTTACGCAATCTTTATGATGGATTGATGAATCTCGAAGCCGACATAGCTCCTGAAGATCAGGTCGAGGATGATGACGATGATGATGAGCCAACCAAGCGACTGATCATAGGTCCGTTCGTCAAGCTACCATCCAAACGCGACTACGGTGACTATTATGTCCTGATCCACAACCCGATTTGTATGAATCAAATTCAGGCCAAAATTAAAAGGGAGGAGTATAATAGCATTAATGATATGCGTAAGGATATCGTCCTGATGTGCAGCAATTGCAAAACGTACAATGAAGACGGAAGTCTTCTTTACTCAGACGCAATTGTCATGGAGGTATGTTTTGATGAACCCGACTCGATCCTAAGCCATTATACTAATTCAGCATAGAAATTCTTCAATGACCGAGCACAGGAAGAGCTTAACGAGCATCCGGAATTAGCCGAGCTCGAAGACCCATCTGCAAAAGACAGTTCGGTAGCTCCTAGCACGAGCGCAGGAACGCCTCAGTCTTCTGCGAATACCACAAGGATAAAGTTGGTGACTAACGGCGCCAACCAGGGCAACGCGGGCATAGGGGGTGGTCAGAGTGATGGTGAACAATGAGTACTTATGGGACAGAACGACTTGCTTAAGATATAGTCAAGCAAGTCGTTGACAGCTACAACAAATAATTCTGTTTTATTTTCTTTTTCTGGACGGTTCCGTCAACATTGTGGTTTTTGCAAGTAAAGATTTGGCCGGGGCCGGGAAGGTCTGGCCCTCGAGCGGCACAGAAATAAGGCGTACAAGGAGGTGTGGTTCTTCTTCTATTACTTGGCGACGGGCAAAGAGGAAACGAACGGCATGTGTACCACAAACACCAAACAAAGTATTTTTTTGGCGAAGCTACCTTAAGCAATACCCTGGGCCGCCCTCGGCTGGCTGGCTATCCTACTCTCATCAAATAACCGCTCTTAAAAACTAAATTCTACATTCGTACGCTAGTGTGCCGTTAGATGTATCTTGATAAAGTTTTTTAGTTGGCTGTTTTTTTTATTAATAAATGTGATGGTATGTGAGATGATGTGGTTGTGACTGGTTGGCTACCTTACCTACCTTAGGTAAATTAGAGACTTGGTTTAATGAACTTAATTCACGCCTTTCTGGATGGATATTATATCAGGTTCCTAGAGGAGGTTTCGCGTATTGGTAAATGTCATGGTGATGATAGGTACCTACCTAATTGTTCTACTTCGACCCGCAGTTTTTGTACCTTTCTCAGTGAAGCCCTTTCGGCGAGTTTATAACACAGCCAGGAGCACCAGCCCAAAAAAGGGGGAGGGCTGAATCAATAATACTACTTAGGTTAAACCTTTTAGTATGTCAACGGATCTTCTCTTACTAGGGCTGGTTCACCTCCTCCGCAGTTGTCTAGATATGCTACGAGATGATTAACAGCAGTTCTACTGATTTGCACGCAGCCAATTCTCCAGGTTTTAGAGAGATTGACTGGCGTATTATTTAGCTTAAGACCTTGGGTGTTTTCTTAATGGACAGCCTCGTCATGTTGATTTATTTTTAAATTCGTTTAGCTTAGGTAGAATCGGATGTAATCCCTTAAGACTAACTAGCTACCTAGGTACCGAACGACAAAAGTGGTTACACTGTGGTATATCCTTTTCCCTTATAATTTTCCAAACGCCAACGCTCAAATTCTCCTTGGGTATCATCATGATGACCTCTGTTTGGCTTCTCGGTCGTGATCATGTAACTCCCAGATATCTTGAATACTTGGTGCAGATAGGTGATGTATAGCACTAGTACCAGGACGTGTAAGGAATATTCTAGGATTAACCGGGGGGTGTTCCTGCCGCCTGGATAAGAGAATCCGATACTCGTAGCTTAGGCCCGACCAACAGTATCCCCATTCATTATCGACGCAGCTGTCATGATCCCCGATAACGTCATCGATGCAATCACCGAGATCCTGGTAGGTATCGCTCACTATCTCAACTCCGCCGCGGCCGTGATTATGAATGGTAGTGGTATTTTCAGTCGTGCAATGTTTACAACCTGCAAGCGGATAGCTGCGCAGCGAAAAGCCGTCCAGGTCGTAACCGTCCAACCCGGCTGGTTTCATCAGAAACAGTCTTTCATGTGCCATGGTGGCAAACTTGGAGATGGTATCATGCACACTCATTTTATAGAGACCATTCCAATCCAATAGATCCAGGAAGGGACGGAATGTTGATCGAAATTCAGTGCCGTGCCAGCAAGATTGGAAAACTTGCTCCATGGGAGATGAAGCATTCGCTTTAAGGAAAGGCTTAACTCTGTCTGGAAGAAGTAGTATCCGTTGAATTTTATGGAAGTATAAGTTGTCGTTCACGACTGCTGCTTCGGTGTCCAACTTCACATACCCATGAATGAAATCCGGATTGTTGCAAGATGTTCCTAATCTCCTAAGCTTCCAGTCGGTAGATATAGAGAGATGGGAAGTCGCAAGGTTAGGTTCCATGCCGTTACTATAATTATTTATGGCCTCACGGCCCTGTTCGCAGGTGAAGGCATACTGTGGCCATAGGTTACCAAAAGTCATAAGACCTTTTCGACGACGGATCGAGGTAGAGTCTTCTAGAGCATGTGGGCCCTCTTCAACAAGACTGACGAGATTCTGGTGAAGCTTTGAGCAGCGCTTGCAGACAAACATATGGGGGAGGTCTTTTACCACGTGATGAAGGAACTCGGTTCTCTCAAGAGAAGCTTGATCTAAGTCAGCGTGTAGAGCACTACGAATAGAAGCAAGACAAATATTGCCGTAGTCGGTACCCCGGACGAGGCGGGAAGAGGCTTTGCAAGTTAAAGAGAAGAGTGCAACATGCTTAGGGTCGAGGAAGGATAATATGTATGAAACAAGCTCTATGGGTAGACTGAGAAGTAAACAGGATGTGCCAGTTTTCTTGGGTGATGTTAAGATCAGAGCTTGTTCGAACCTGGTTGATAAGGTATCTATCATCTTGAATAATATCGGTATAATTAAAGGACAAATGAGAATGTGAGAATGTGTGTTGGTGGAATAGGAAAAATAATAGAAATGCGTGAAGGAGTTTTATGTAAGTTCTGGTGTAAGTTGTAACTTATGGAATATGTAGAGATGGATCTAGGTAGGTACCTCACATCCATCTGCTGTGTAACTCTCCTATAATTCTTTCCCCTGAGTAAATTGTAAATTGTAAATTGTAAATTGGAAGGAAGGTTCTATCCCTCTTAACGCTATTGGTTTATCTCTCCTCACTTAAACTCTTTTCTTACAACTTGTAGGCAAGAGCTATGGAAATACGTAGGTGGGGAGTCGTTACCTGGGTTATTCGCAGACCAAGGTAGTCACCTAATTGGTACGTTGTCGGCATAATACATGGTAGATAGATAGAATCTAAGGTATGCGTGAGGTCTCTCCACATGTAAAATGAAAAGCACGGTCCTTCCCCAGAAAGGCCTAAAATATAAAATTAGCTAAGCCACTCTGAGTAATATTGAGAAATGTAAATGTACATAGAATTATGACTTTTAGGATCGACATCTTTAATCTACCTTTCTGTACCTGTTGCAATTTACTTTCTTCACTTTCCCTCTACACTTTTACCATATGGACTGTCTTTTTGCTCGACGCAAGTCCTTACCACACTTGCAATGTGGCCCGCATCCGAGAGGCGAAGTGTAAATAATATCTCTTTACGTCTGCTTCTAATCGCAGGCCATGTACTTGCTCAGGTCAATTCGAGTACCTCGACTACCCATGATGTCGCAAAATCCCCCTCGAGTACCCTCTCGGCCGAACCTACCTGCGAGTCGAAGACCGTGAACTATATCACTCATACTCTACCTCAGCAATGTCTTACTTCCGCTCCATCGTCATTCTCTACTCCCTCATCCGTTAGCGCCACCGTCACTAGTTCTACACCCGTCGACTCGACGCCCAGCGCTGATAGCACTGATCATCTTGAAGAGCTAGACGCCGATGGCAATGACCTTAGCACAGGTGCTTTTATGTCATTTGAAGAATGGAAGGCTATGATGCTCGAGAAATCTGGGCAGGACGCGCTGGAGCCGAGACAGCGCAAGAGTAAAGAAACCCACGGCGATGCGGACCCCGGAGAGGACTTCGATAGTCTCGGGGACGAAGGCGAGGTGTCGCTCGATTTTGACGCATACTCTGATAGGATCTCTGAGATAGCATCGTCGACGAAGCCGTCGCAGAAAGAGAAGGAAAAAGAAAAGCAGGTTGAGAAGGTTAATTACGACGAGGGGTTGGCTCAAGGCTATCGTAGTAAAGATGCTGGGAAGACATGTAAGGAGAGACTTTCGTACGCCTCGTTCGACGCCGGCGCAACGGTAAAGAAGGCGAGCCCTGGTGCTAAGAACCCCAAGGCCATCTTAGTCGAAAATAAGGACACGTATATGCTCCTCGAGTGTGCTATGCAGAACAAGTTTGTTATTATCGAACTAAGCGACGATATCCTAGTCGATACTGTTGTGATAGCCAACTTCGAATTCTTCTCTAGCATGATACGCCACTTTCGAGTTAGTGTAAGCGATCGCTATCCTGTCAAGCTAGAGAAGTGGAAGGTTTTAGGTACCTTCGAGGCTCGTAATTCCAGAGATATTCAGCCATTCTTAGTCGAGAACCCTCAAATATGGGCTAAGTACTTGCGAATCGAGATTTTAACCCATTACGGCAATGAGTATTATTGTCCCATGTCCCTACTACGAGTCCATGGTACACGTATGCTAGACTCGTGGAAAGAGGCTGACCCTGCCGACCTCGAGCCCGAAGAGGACAAGACAATACCTGAAGTCCCTGAGGAAACAGTTGAAGAAACCGAAACCCAAACCCAAACCGAAGAAGTTGAGATTGTTGAACCCTTTCAGCCTGAAGATCGGATAATACCCTCAGAGCAAAGTGACTTGATCCCCTACTGGGACGAGAACTATTTCCACTATTACTACCCCTTTAACGCTACTTGCGAAGCAGCTGGCGCAGAGGACTATACGTTCCAACGCAGCAAGGAAAACTATAAGAACAAAACAGCAGCTAAACCGCAACCCGTAAGGACTGTCGAACAAACAATTCCAATTAGCTCAGGCGCATCTTCATCAACGATTCCAACATCGCAGTCTGCTAGTCAAGTAACAGCAGACTCGGTGAGGTCTACATACCCAAGCAGCTCAAACGAGACAACAGCGAGTACAGCCAGCGCAAATTCAACTGAATCCGCCCCTGTCTCAACATCATCTCCAGATTCAAGGTCAGCTACTGTAACACCACCAACAACAACTACTACAACACCTACCACGGTCGCGACTCCAAACCTAGTAAAGACCGCTAGCGTACAGTCGCCCCCTAAGAGTAAGACATCCGCTTCGACCTCTGTTGTAAAACCACCGTCCTCACGGTCGGCTGCATCTAAGGGTCAGCCCTCCGGTTCCCCCACAACGCCACGCAATAAAACCACAACTACAACCTCATCCGCTGCCCCCGCGCACACAGTTCAGGACTCGTTCTTCAAAGCGCTTAACAAGCGCATCCAAGCTCTCGAGTCTAACACGACTTTATCTCTACAATACATCGAGTCGCAGTCGCGATTCTTACGAGAAGCGCTAGCGCGCCTCGAGAGGCGTCAAGTAGCTAAGGTAGACCTATTCCTAGATACCTTGAATAAGACAGTCCTCGGCGAGCTGCGCGAGGTCCGTGTTCAGTACGATCAGATCTGGCAGTCCACCGTCATCGCCCTCGAGACTCAGCGCGAGCAGTCCGAGCGCGAGATCGTTGCTCTATCTTCCCGCCTCGGCGTCCTAGCTGACGAGGTCATTTTTCAAAAACGCATGGCTATTGTCCAGAGCGTCCTGCTTCTAGGATGCCTTATCCTAGTTATTTTCTCCCGCGGCGGTCTCGCTCAAGCCGCCGCCGAGTCTTCGTATTATCCCGCCCAGTTCTTTGGCGGTGGCGGCCCCTCGAGACTTGCGTCTCCTATCTTCCCGTCTACCCCTAGAGTCCAGCATCACCGTCGTGACGGAGCAGCGATGCTCTCCCCCGAGGACGCTAGTCCCGTCCCCATCCCCAGTACCCCGCAGCAGTCTCATCTACATCGCAGTCCAAGCCAGACGCCAGATTCTTCCCTGCATCATCGACCGCGGAGGATGAGTTCTTCTAGAGCTGGCGTTATTAGCATCAATGAGACTCCCGAGTCTGTAGGCCATCGAAGGCCCTCGCCGAATAGAGTCACGTCCGAGCCCCCTTCAACTGGCTTCTACCGGGCCCCCACGCTGTCAAGCGTAGAAGCGGGTTACGACTCGGAGCCGGCCATGACGCCGTCTATGGAGGGAGAGTATTACTCTACGGTGGTTGACAGTGGGAAGAGCAGCGCGTTGAGTTACCCCGAAACGTTGGTTAGGAAGTCAGAGAGACAGTTGACACCATCATCGGAGACCGATGGTGTAGAGTATATACCTCTATCGAGTAGGCCGCCTCTAACGCATTCTTTATCTGCGCAAAAGCCCCTACCTACTTTACCAGAGGATCCCGATTAGTGTATACAGAGTTAGTCGGTTTATTTAGTTTTAAAGCCTAGAAGCTACAAATAATGAGACCATGATTAATCAAGAAGAATGAAGTACCTAATGCATCTTAGTGAGTCAAGTGTTTGCGAGAAATGCATTTTATTATTGCCTATCACGCCCAAGATCTAATGCTAAGTATAAGCGTAAAAGATAAAAGCAGTCGCCACTCCCCATGCCATGTAAAGCTACGCGATTTTTTCTAATTTTCTGCAATAGAATAAGCACGCTCCACCTCTCTGTCCTGCCAAAGTTGATGCCCCAGTCTAATAAACCAGGCCAATCTGAACCAAGCACCAACCATAAGCCTAACTATGGTGGCACCAATTTTCCTGGTCGTTCGAGTTGGCTCCTGTCGAGTATAATGGAACTCCGGTCTTCCATTATACACGATGACCCCGGGGTGCATCAAGAGACGCCCGAAACAATATAGAGGCTGAAATCTTCCCGAGTGATATAACTCGATAGCAATAGTTGGCCTAGAAACTCAGAAACTCCCAAAATTCGCATCAAGGAAGAAAGAAAACGCTAACGCGCAGTCCAGGTGTTGTCCCTGGGGTAGGTAGTTGAATTTGTTGCAAGTCCGAGAAGTCCGGTAGACAACATCTCGAAACCCAAACCAACCACACTTTCATGGATTTCCCGCAAATGTCAAAGGCGCCGCGGAAACCGATCGGATATTCGAGGACGAGATATAGTCGTGGCTCTGTTACTAGAGCGAAAATATTGTGAATTCTCTTCGCCGGTGAGATTCAATAATAATCTGTAATTCAAGTCGTTATGGTTTTTGCATGGCCACTTTAATGCCATGTGATCGCGATGGATTTCTTTTACTTTTTTTGTTAGATTGTTATCAATAACGAGTTTGGGGTATTGGTGGTTTCCCCTTGATCGGAACCCTTCCAGTATCAATAGACCCCCTTAAAAGATGACACGAAAACAGTGAAGGCATCGTCAAACCTATATTAGAGTTAGCTCCGTATCAACCAACATAATCATAATTAATAACACAAATGGTACTTACTAGCAAGCAGATTTCGGTAAATAAAGCAGGTGCTCTGAAATTCTAGGGTCACTAGAAGTGTTGTGGATTCGATAGACGATTTGTATCGAGACGAATCTGGCAGATGCGAAAAAAGACAAAAAAAAATCAAACGGAAGTCTTTCGAGGGGAAGTTACAAAAACCTCTAAGAGCTTACTGAGGGGAGTAATAACTCTGACGGCAAATAGCTGCATCGTAGTCATACTCCTCGAGTCGCGGGTTTCCACGATCGAATTGAGAACGGCGGCGCCGTTGCTCATCGCGGAAATGCTGGCCTGCATTGGGGGTAAAAAGGCCTGACCGAATGCAATCAGAAATCATCCTCTCTTAAACATGTAGCATAAATTTAACATACCCACATGTTCTGCATTTTCACAGCTTCTCTTCATCTTCGATTGGTTGTCAGGCTCAGGAAATGGCTCCTCCTCTCCAGCCAAGTCAGGGCGTGGTCCATTTAGGGTATAGAAAAGCTAGGAAAGGGTCAGCTACCGCTCGAATGTTTGTTAAATATACCTAGGTACTTACCTTGGGGCGATAGTGAGGTGCCTCAAGCATTACCGAGCTGTTACGGAACTTCTGGACCAGGCAATCTTTGCCTTGGATGGCTGTGCTTCTACTCAGTATATAGACCGAAAACTTAAGGGATGACGGTTGACTCACTGGCATAAGAGACCTCTGCAACCTTGTCACTTTTGAAGCAGTTCCAGCGCTGATTGGCTCTAGCATGCACGAACTGGAAAGATGTCAGCGAAGTCGACGGTTATTTGACAATGGTCTTACATCAATAATATCTAATGGCTAAGAAGTTGGTCAGTAATAGCAATCCAACTGTGAGAGACAGGTAAAGCTCACATCGACGAAGTTGATGAACGCGTAACCGACACTAGAGATTCGATCAGTAAATATCTCTTTCGCGTATTAAATGATTTCCTTACTTGCAGTCATTCGCGAAATCGATGCGCAGATACATGAAGTCATATTTTCCCCAGCTCGAATCATCCACAATCTTCTTTAGGAGAGCTTGGTCAACTTTGTTAGGTATGTTACGCAGCATGATCTATCGGGTCAGCTCCTATTACCATAAACTTTAGGTTCAGGTAACTTACCGTCGTCCGCACATCAATACCGTCTCGAATGCGGCTGACGTCAACATGGTTATGATGGTTGGCCGGATTGTAGTAGGGAGATCGTGCAACTCTCATTGCATTCTGTCGGCGACTGTCAGGACGGCCGAAGTGTTGGAATTGCCGTGGAGTTATGAGTTCAGTGGACAAGAATGAGCTCTGCTGTGACAGCGTGGGACTCGCCAGAGAATAGTTGCTGGCTGACAACATGCTACTCGGAGTTCTAGATGAGCCTTGGTCCATCATATACGGAGGGCTAATCGGCAAGCCTGTATATAGGAGAGGGACAACTCCGTATGGCGATGGTAGCTGGAAGCCACCCTGAGAACCATTGGGTCTGGCTGGCGTGCTGAACATAGAATTAGTCACAGACGGCATGACTGATTGTGTTCTTCCGATAGACATTCTCCGGAAGCTATTAGCCAGTTCAGTCGGCGAGACTATGGCTCGGGTAGAATTGTTGATTCCACTCTGTGCCGTGACTGGCATCAAGTCAGGTCGATACAGCGTGACGCAAATCTGAAGACCCTGTTATGAAAATATCAGTATATCGGTTACTTATGCCCGTGATGGGTTTCTCACCTCGACGACAACGCTATTGAACTTTGAAACAGCGCGGAGGGACATATCATTATCGCAGTACTCGACAATAGCACTCAATAGGCTTCCCTGTACCCCCTCTCGAATCTTGAAGGCGAACAAATCTCCTTCGGTCTCTAAAAGCTCCTTCAGAAAACCCTCGAGTTGCTGGGTAGTAATGGTACTTGCTGAATGTGGAAATACACTGAGATAGAGCTGACCCTCGTGCGCAGTGACGGAGCCTGCGCCGGGTTCTACGACCGAAGAGAACTCTCGAGGGCTGACCGAACGAACCGACCAATTGTAAGTTCGCATGGACAGGTTGGAGAACACGGTACAGGCGCTACGGATGTTGGTAAATCGGACAAACACCTGGTCTCCACATTCATAAACCTGCATGCTTCCCTGAAACGGAATGCCCATCTGTTGTAGTTCCTATAAGTAGTTAGCTCATGTATACATACCTGACCTAACGACAAACTCTTACAGATAGATATAGTTCCACTTCAGTCCCGGTTAGTCTACTACCAGTATTAGTAGAGATGACCAGGCATCGAGAGATGCCAGCCTCAGTGCTCAGCTTGTCGTGAACGAAGTTAGAGTGCGAAGCATTAGCCGCCGGCGAAGATAACCTGGAAGTTTGAGCATAGTGCTGGCTTAGATTCTCCGAGAACGCATCTACTCTCTTAGGCTCAGATGCCGAACCCCGAGCGCGCAATACCGATGGTAAAGGAGAGAATACAGAGGCAGTAGGCGATAGCTTCTGCCTTGCTTTGAAGCTAGTATCCGCAGGACCGATGAAAGGGTCCTTGTCTAGGTGAAGACTGCCACGGTACAAGACGCTTGGTCGGTCAAGAGATTGCGGTGCATTCATCTCATACTTGATAGGACCAGCTTCGCGAATATTGGCATTGAGGGATCCTTGTGCTCGTATAGATCTAGCGGAGCCATCTTCAGGAGAAAATGTAGTCAGTCGAGTGTCGGGAGTACCCTTGAAAGAATCGGCAGCTCCGCTCGAGGAATGGGGCGAGGCCGGGTTGAAGTGACCCTCACGGGCCTGGTGCACGTTCATCTTGTCAGAACAATTGCACGGTATCCTTAGGAGTAGACAACTAAATCTGATACGTCAATCTCAGTTGTGCATAGGCTTGGGCTAATATGGATGGGATATGTCAACTGATGGATGAGAGATAGGGGAATATTTTGGGGAATAGGTGTCTAGCTATATGGAAGGTTGGATTTCCATACGTGAAAGTAGCAAAAGAAATTTGGACAGCAAAAATCACCACTTAATGGTTACAGTAGGAGTGTTTTGGTGGGTGCTTAATATCATTGGTAAGAGCTGAAACTTTCAAAAGCTGGCAACAATTGAGTGGGATACATCAGAAGAAAGTTGCCGTACGAAAGAAACATGGTTGATTATGTTGGGAGGGTTTATTGGGGGCCGATGATGTTTGAGAGTAAGGGTTCGGGATTGGGGAATTTGACCATGAAAAGGGGGAAGGGGAAAGAAAGAATAGGCAGGAACAGGTAAACCTACCAGAGAAATTGCCACGCCTCTATCGCCAGGTCCTTATCAACGACTATTTGTTGTTGAATTAAGGTGGACTGAGTTTTGCGCGAGCGACGGGTTCTTCGGTCGAGGACGGCGTCACCTTGCTGTAGCTTCAACGACCTATGGGCACACCAACTCGTGCTTGCTTGTAGGTATCAAGTGAGGAGAGGAATGGCTGCTATGAAAATTATTAGTGGCGCCCTGGATATTCTTGATTTGATTTATTGAATTGATTATACAATAAACAAATCTTGGAAGGTGAGATATTGAGCCTGTGATTTGTGTAATAAGGAGGGGGGATGATTGCAGCGTACGGCCACGCAAGTTGAGGACTTGTAATGTATTAGGAGAGGAGAGGGCAAACTGGTAAGAACGACCGAGTTTAGATATCTGGAAATGAATGGGCGTGTGGAATGATACAGAATGCCGTCTATACAGGTATCCCTTGACGTAAAGGGTTCGTCTGTAAGGCAATTTGAAGTGAAACTTATCGATATAAAATGCATCATATCGAGAAACCCGAGAGACTTGAGATGTTTAAATAAATCACAAAACTTACTTTTGAAATGGGAAGTTTGAAATTATTCCCGACCAGGAGCAGTTAAGATGGCCTGAACTAGATGCGGTTGAAAAGTCAATTTACCATCTGCGTTCCGAACCATACACGCGTAGAGTGAATGGAATATTGTTGATATACTATGCGAAACGGAGTTGTCGTCTGGCAGACGGGTAATGAACTATAGGTCAGACGCGTCAATTGGATGCAAAACTACTGAGTGAGTATATTAGTTGGTACATTATGCAATGAAATTATTACTTAGACTTACCGATAAACTCAATTAGGGTCTGAGTGATCTGTAAAGTTCCTATCTGCGCCAAGACAAAAGATCTGAAGAGGGTGGTTCGTGGGGTCTGAATGTCTCAAGAAGGTTCTTGACGCAATACCGTTCCAAGGCCAACGACTTTCCCCAAGGACAAGAAGTTCGGGAATATCGGTGTGTAATTGATGAAATCCAGATTGACCCCAAGACGTGACAATGGTCCAAGGTGGAAGGGTATGTGTGGATTGAGAGGGTTATATGTAAGTAGGTTTGTCGTCGAGAGAGGATGAAGAGGGTTAGAGAATTGTAAGAAGTTGTGCGATTAAGTAGAAACGATGCGGCACGAATGATTTTTGGTTTACCTAAATGATAATTAGGAAAGTGCGTCAAGTACATGTACGCTGCTTCTGGTACATATGTATTTACAGTACGTCGTTTACTTATGTAGAAGGAGCTGGTTTCAGAAAGGGAATAGCTGGCTAAAAAGGTGTATGTATGCACCTACCTACTTTGGTACTTGCACTTACTTACACTGTCTGTTATACCGCCGTGCAGGTATCATTGGACCGTTGGGCGTAAAATGACTACATGCGCTTGTTTGCACCGTGGCCTGCTGCTGCGCTGATAACCTGAGCTAATTAGGATGTAAATATGTACTTGGTCGTAACCAGACGCAACTGCCAAATTAACAAAATAATTATCAACTATTGGCCGTACTGATAGAATTGAATCGCCTCTTTGCTTAGACGAGCATGCCCTAGAAAAGCGACTAATAACTGTGTGCTTAAGCGAATTAGTCTGAAGTATTTTTTTTCTCTACTTACACGGTTCGAGTAACAATGACGCCGTTGGTGTTTTGTTTGCACCAAGTACTAGACGTATATGGCATTCTTTCTATCAGTATCTTTTGCTGTTCGGATATTAAAGTCGGGCAAACTGTGCCCCTAGATAAGCCTAAACTACCATACTGACCCTCCTAATCATGCCTTGTCAAACCTCTCCTCCCTCCTTACATCCTCAGGGTAGAACGTTTAGGAGATGCCTGCTAGTACACACCCTTATCTTAGAAGGTATAGTAATAGTTGAGATGACTACTACGATGATAGGACATCCCATATCTGACAATTGGGAATCAGGTAGTAAATCGCCATTCACATTCATAAATTTTGGTTTCTAAGCATTTAAATCATCTTAATCACGAAATAAATGCAAAATGATCAACCAATACCGTAAGTTTGCCTTAGCCTTAATATTAGTATCTCGACTGTAGTTAGTACATTTTATCCGTGGCAATTATCTGTATGAGTTACGTTAAGATAATAATACCATATAATTGCCGAAGAGCTAGTAGTAATTGTGATCTCTATTTGTTGACGAGCTTGCATCATGAGGGTTGAATCGAAAAGAGGCTAGAATAGCAGCAAAAAATTGTATGTGGACTGATTTTCATTGAACGATACCCATATTTACCTGTTAATATCAAACGTACCATGTAATATCCCTTGATATCAGTGTGATATATACATAATCGGCAAATGATTTCAATTTCAGCAGAGTGATCTGTGTTTAGGGTTTCTATAAGCCTTGATACCTCATAATATTTCAAGTAAGTATACGTTAGATTCGAGAAAGTTATTGAGCAGTTGATTTTATATAAACACCATATAAATGGAAGTGATCGCTCACAGAAATGTCTAAGTAAGTAAAATAAAATAGATGATACATCATGAGGCTGGTCTGAAATGAACATGGAAGGTTTTAGGTGAAGTTGAAGCATAAGGAGACCTAATAAAATGTATGAAGTTATGCGCCACAACCACAAGCCACATTAATTCTGGGAAGTGAGTTTAACGTTAAAGTGGTAGAGTGGATTGAAACGCATTAGAACATGGGGCTATGGGGTAGTGGCGGTGGGGCTGAATGGATGAGGCTTATCACATGCAGCTACACCTCTAGCCATCATTAGTAGCAATTCCGCGTAACCTTACTGTGAATATTGAAACACCTAATTAGAAATAATCTACCTACCTCAAATACATAATCAACTTATATTCGAAAACCGATCCAATTGTCTAGAGTATCGAAACTACAGCTGACAATGACGGCTTGTCCTTGTCTGACAAACTCTCTCTCCTGCTGAATAACCTCTGACTTGTACGGCTCTCTTAGTCGCATTGTGATGCGACCGAGTAATATTCTATTGTAACAATGCCGCGAAGGGTACAGAACTACGACGATTACGGCTCAGCCGTCCACCAGATTATCCTATCTACCTCAGACGCCGAATTCCTCGATCAATTAATACCTGTCCTGAAGGATGCGACAGCAACGAACCGAGCGATTACCCTCACGCAGAATCTATCGCAATATGCCGAAGACCGGGAGTCTGAGATTGAGAGGATAGGATTGACAAAGCACGAGGAATTCCTCGGTTCAGTCAATCATCTCCAAAATGTCCGCGAGCGGACTGTTGCCTTGACGGCCGACATCCTCGAGTTGAATCAGTCCATTCAAGCTAGCACGGAGAAGTTAGCCGAGCAGAAACAGGCATTGGTTAATACACGAGCTGTCCGAGAAAATATTTCGGATGTATCCGACGCCCTGAAAGAGTCTCTGAAGATCCTGCATGCTGTCAACAACGCCCACGACCTGATCCGCAAAAAGGGGTACTACGCCGCGCTTAAGTCCCTCGAGGACCTTCAGAACGAGTTTCTTATTCCGATAATACAGAATAACTATGCTACCCAGCACCAACTTGCCAACTTAATACAGAAATCTATACCCGCATCCCAGAAAACCATCTCCGAGGCGGTCATGACAGATCTCAATACTTGGCTATTCCGAATTAGAGAGACGTCACAGTTCCTTGGGGAGGTGGCGTTCTATCATACTGAGATGCGCCGTACGCGACAGCGGGAAAGGGCGGAGAAAGATGAGTTTCTGAACAATTTTAAGCTAAACTCTGCCATCGAGCTGGTCTTCGATGAGAGTGAGGAGTTTGACGTGCTTGATAATGAGGAGTTAAAGGTTGATTTTACGCCCCTTTTTGAGGCCCTACATATCCACGAGGCATTAGGACAGAGTGATAAATTCAGATCGGAATACGCTGCTACCAGAAGGCGACAAAAAGAATTGCTCCTACCGAGCTCTGTGAGCTTAACCACCGATGATGAGTCGTCACTAAGCAGTTTGCTGGAGGGTATTGCTGGATTTGCTATTATCGAAAAAGCGACAATGCGACAGGTCCCACAGTTACGCACAGCTATTGATGTGAGATAAATCAAATGCTCACTAGTTGATGGCGCTGACATTTCTAGGTCGAGGAATTGTGGGATTCGATGTGCTCTACAGCAATATCTTTAACATCCAAAGCACTTAGTGATATCGCCGATGCCCAAGTGCTCCTGAATACCAAGGGGCGAATTGATCTCTTCATCCTCACAATGGAGGTTAGTAGAATAGTGTCTATACTTGGATGCCGTTTTGACCTTTTTTATTTTACTTTATAGGGATGGGGATACTCAGTTTCGAGACTTGATGAATTCTTGGTCGATCTCTTCGATAGATATGCCGAATTGTTGAAGAAGAGGTTTAGCGAGGACTTTCAAGAGGTTCGTGGTCGTCTATTGCGAGGGAAAAAATATTGACTTGCTGACTATCTTAGAAGATTGTATCGACTGATGATTACATGCCAATGGCTATCAACACAAGAGAAGAATACGAGAAAGTGGCTAATGTCAGCTGGTTTACCCCAGAGAAACCCCTTGAGGAGCTCACGTAAGTCTAGCATATATCCTATTCGATAACGATCTAACTATCATAGATTTCCATGTGTTCTACCATTTTCCCAAATGTATCCACTGTGTTGTATTGACATTAGGAATTTCCTCAACCAGTTCTATTTCTTCTCAGATGACCATTTCCAACATCCGAATAAGATTGATGATACACTGCGCAAGTCTCTCGACGAGCTTCTCACGGAGAAGGTATGCCAGTCCCTGGTAGAGAGGCTTAGCTCGCAATATCTAGGTCAGATAGTGCAGATCTTGATCAATCTAGAACATTTCGAGATCGCTTGCCAGGAGCTGGAGCAGCTTCTAATCAGAGCCCGATCCTCGGGATCTGCCGGCGGTCCCTTGACTTTAGCAGCCACCGAGCAGTTTAGGGAAAACAAGAAGACAGCCGAAAAAAGAATCTTCGAGCTCGTGAACTCCAAGATCGACGACCTGGTCGAAACCGCCGAGTATGACTGGATCGCGTATAACAAACCTACGGAGCCAAGCAATTACATGCAGACTCTGACTAGATACCTATCCAATATCATGAACTCGACGCTATTAGGCTTACCTAGGGAAATTAAGGAGCTTATCTATTTTGACGCGCTCAGTCATGCGGCAAACAAGATTCTTGTTAGTAACCTACCACTTGATCCAAATCGCTTAGGTCATACATAGTATTAACAGGATATTACAGGCTCTCCCCCTCTCTCCAGACGTAAAGAAAATAAACCCGAACGGCGTCGCGGCGCTGTCGATGGATGTCCAGCATCTAACTACCTTTGTCGACGGCCTCGAAAACGGCTTCATGCTGCGGTCTAACTTGGACGAGCTCGAGCAGACGATTCAGCTCCTCCAGTCCGACAACACGGACGAGTTCTTCGACATCATGACTCGGAACAAGAAGTACGGCCGTGTCGACGCCATGAACGGCCCAGCATTATTAGACAAGTGAGTATTGCACTATTCAATCTTAAAATATGTACAATATGGCTTGAAAACAGGACGACTAACATGTAAATAGGCTTACTCAGCAGATTTTGAGTCCGGGGCAGACGGCTCAGCGATTCGCCAATTTCTCGTCGAACCTGTCATCGCGTTTCGGCACGAAATAATGGAGGCAAACGGAGGTGTATATCAACATCCAACAGATTTCACATCACGGACGCATGTATTAGATAAGATGCCTAAAGCATGTAAAATGAATTGTATTTCATCGCACTAAAACCCGCATCAATGGCGGCTGGAAAACCCGATGACCCATAAACCCCTACGCCGTACTATCAAAATAAGAACATGTGTCTGTCGCCTAGTAGTAGTGGTAGTAGTATTCACGGAAGTCGTTTCTGTAATTTGTATGATATTGTCACCCGGTCCTATTCCCTTCTCCTTCTCCTTCTCCTAAGTAGTAATAATTTGGATATATTTCTTGAGATTCCTCGTTCCGGAACTCACCATCCTAGGGCTCATTGTAAACTTGGTTAATCGTCACCTGATTATACATCTCTAGGAGCGCCCTGCTGTCCTCCTATGGCTGCTGGGGCATGCCTGGGTAGCCGTACATCCCCTCCATATCCCCGTACATGGCTTGGGGTGGTTGTTGGCTATAGGGACCGCCGGGGCCGGCTTGGACTTGATTATACATGGGTGGGCCGCGGTATTCTTGATCAGAGCCCATGGCATGGCTGCCCATGCCGTAATCGCCCGGTGCCATATGGTTGGGGGCTCCGGGCATCCCGTGTGAACCCGGCATTTGGTTACCGGCTGCTGCGGGTGGCACGCCACCTTGAGACTGCTGCGCTTGGGCGGGGTTAGCGCGCTTAGCGTGACTCGCCTCTTCGCGCGGCACGATGTCGATTAAGAAGTCGAACATGTCGCTCTTAGCGAGAGCAGAGGCGATATCGGATCGCTGCAATGTTCGTCTCTTATTCTCTTCGGCATGAATCCACGCCCGCATCGTCAGCTCGGTGATGAATATATCGCACCCCTTCGCGAATAGGATGGGGGCTTCGGCAGAGATCATCTTAACCTCGGGATCAGCCTTCATGACCTTCTTGATTCGAGCGAGGGGTAGTTGATGGAGCTTGTAGTCATGTTGGTCTGACTCGAGGTGGTTGATGGTATTTTGCCAATAGGTTGTTAAAATATCCTTGTATTGGCCGTGTAGACCCTGGTGAACATTGGCCCAAGGCCCGGTATAGAGCTCAGCAGGTGCGAAGCCAGAGTTTGCGAGCTAGATTGGATGCGTTAGTAAAGTGATAATATGGAAAAGAAGGGATCGATGATTAGTAGAAATGCAGGAAGAAGGGAAGAACCCGGTAACAAGAGACGAGAAGCGAGAGTCAAGATGGGAGATGAGACGGGAGAGGGGAAGAATGGTGGGACTTACTGCTGCACTGGCACCTATAAGAAGAGATGATTAGCGACGTCGCACGAACGAAGGCAACTCGCAATAGACGAGTGCAATCAAGAGGTACTTACCATAGTGACCTCCATGAGCTATATCATATACACCGGTCCCTCCACCGCCTCCCCTCGACGACTGAGGGTGATTTGACGAAGATTGATCCATAGTATTTTGTTTGAGGAAATTGCGCAACTGGTCTTACAACCTTGAGTGCGCAGATAGAAATACGTCGAGTATTTCAAAAGGCGCGCGAAATAAACACACAAGACTTGACCGGAGCTGACAGGCAAACTGAAGTCTTGCGCGATGGTATTGCACGCACGCGCACGACCTTAAAGATAGTAGTGAGTTTTATCGAGTGGTCCTTTTTCGCTTGTCGAGAATGCTCGTGAGTATCACCGTGCGTAGATAGGCTCCCGACGGCGGAGAAAAAAAATTAGAGGGCTTGTTTGTGTTGTTTACACAGAGCCCCAGATCGAAGCTTTGGTGCGCGTGGTGATGTAACAAATAGGCTTTTTGGTACAGTAGGTATTTCCAAGTTAGACCCTTGGATTGGAAAGATTGATTGGCCCGACGGGAGGTTGGGGTCGGGAGTGACTAGGAGAGTTGACTAGGTTCGAGGAGAGGAGATGATTGATTGGGCGATCGTTTTGGCTTTAGGAAAGCTGTTTGTGCGATTTTGGTCGAGGAACGGTTTTTTTTTTTCGCCCCTTTGTCAGCTACTTAGATTATTATTCGTTCCCGTTTGTTTCTTTTACCCAGAAAGTTTGCTCACCTTGCGGCTCGCTCCGAGATGCCCACTATTTTTTGGCTTGAGCTTGAGCTTGAGCTTGGTTCCTGGTCTTTGAACTCGAACTCGAACTCGACCTCGACCTTTTTTAATGTATCTGCCTGTCTAGCCAGGCTTTTTTTTTTATCTACTTCTTCCCGGAGTTTCTCCTTAAGAAACCGGTGTTAGATCAAATGAAATAAAAATTAGATGTAATAAAAAAAGGTTGAACTTGGATGGAACGTTTATGATAACTGTTGAACTTTTATGAATCGTGTGTCATTCATGTATGTGTGTATGTGTAGGTACGATATGTATTAGAATGATCTGATTCACAACCCAAAACTAATAAATTAGCTCTATGTATGCGTTGGTCGGGATTGGGCAATGACGTGAATGGATTTTCTAGAAGTGCTTAGATCTTCGATGCGCTTATACGTTGTAGGGCTGGCTGCGAAAACTGGGCTGCTTCGATAGGAATCAATGCGCTGGCACTATGGTTGGGCATCAGCGGCCGCCGACTTCACTCTCTATCAGCTATCGAAGTAAGAGGTACTGTACGTATTAAGCAGGCAGGGCAGGTTGGGGGTGGCTGCAAGGATTAGAAGATGGTGTGCTGCCGGAAGGCTCTGACGGGTAACTCTGCTGTCTTATCGATAGGCTATGCTAGGTACCGCCCTGTAATCCTTCGGCCAATCAACTAACCCCGCAAAGTCCGGAGTACATACCTAGGTACCTAGGTACCTAAATGATGAGGTAATAAAATACATGGGTACCTCTATCTTAGCTACTAGCCACACGTGCTCACCAGCCATTAACCCTAGCCACATTGTACCAAGACAAATTTTATTCTTTTCAGTGGAGTTCCAACTTTTTTTTTTTCATCCTTCCAAGCTTCGAGGACTATCAACAAATTGTGCTGTTGCCCACCATGGCAGAAACAGCAACCGCGGAATGTCTCTCAGATGATCAAATCGAGCAGCTTCTTAGAGAAGCCGAGGAAAGATTAAATGCGAAACATCAAGGACAAGATGAGAAAGCTGTTGCCGCACCCAACAAGTCGGACGTCGTAAAGGCCTCCAAACCAGACTTCCCAGCACCGAAGGCAGCCTCTCTAGTCTCTTCCAAGGACAAAGTAAAGCCTGAAGGGTTGTCGGTAAGAGTACCTGAGGTTCGGAGGCCGAAGCAAGAAATGGTACGTCCCACATCGATTCTTTATGATTTTTATACGTTGCTATCGGCACGACCTTTTTTTGATGAAATTTATATCCCAATTTAATTGAAGCAGTAGCTGGTCCCGTTATGGGTAACGTTACTGCGACAGAATGATAGATCCATATCATAGTTACTCTGACTCTTTATCTCGCTTCTTATTTCGCTTCAGCTTGTGTCAAGGCTCTTTGCTGACTAGTTTCTCAGGCTGTCAAGGCAGATGCTGGACCCTCATGGTTTAATCTCCCCCGGACTGATCTTACTCCCCAACTCAAAAAGGATCTACAATTACTACGCATGCGCGATGTTTTAGACTCTAAGCGATTTTACCGTAAGGATAGCTCCAGAGCTTTAGTGCCACAGTTTTCCTCAGTCGGGACTATAGTTGAGGGGCCAACCGACTTCTTCAACGCTAGATTAACTAAGAAGGAGAGGAAGCGCACTCTTCTCGAAGAAGTCCTGGAGACTGAAGACTCCACTCGGAGATTCAAGAACAAGTATGGCCAGATCCAAGATGTAAAGACGAGTGGTAAGAAGGGCCACTACAAGCAGATGATGGAAAAGCGATATGGTCGCAAAAGCCGAGGGTGAATACTGGAGACGAGGGATTAATATCCCTACTGGGCATAACATAGTGTGCACGAAGTGCTACGTATCCTAGGTACCTTGAACATGTTCTGGCGTGATGAGAATGCAATAAGCACTCATCATCAGCAGACCGGATCATGTTGTTCCAGCCTGCTGATGCGGCCTAGAAGAGGCATACCAGTAAGTTACAATCTTATAGTCGTGCTATATAATCCGTTCCTAACAATATTTTAGAAACTAGTAAGGATATAAAGACGTTCTCGCGAAATTAGTCGCTTGATACACGTCCTGACTTAGTGGTAGAACCATCTTACTTCAAGCTAGGTTGACGTACTTAGGTATATTAGGTGGTCTGAAGGTTAGGTTATTTGAAATAAAAGTAACCTCAAAATTCCACCGAGAGGATGAGGATTACGAGGCCTTAGCTAGTACTGTAAGTAAGTTAGGCAAATAAAAATTGATCAAACACTTACAATATTTCGGATACCATACATACTAGTCTGTATACCTATCAGATGATTAAAACCTAGTTTCTTTAGAATCATGATTACTTTCATAATCTTGTCTATCTTTGTGTTTACGTGTTGTAAGCATAATAATATGTCTGAATAGGCTCTAAAAAAAGCTTGTGATTCGGTTTAGCATGAGTTGACAAGTTGATTCTCTTATGTACCTAAGGTAGCTATAAAAGATGAGGACCGTGCATGTGTGCATGTGTGCATGTGAAGGTTGAATGCTGGGCGCAGGAATTACGTAGGTTAGGTACCTTTGGTACCTATATAAATACCTGGTAACCCGAACTTTATCCGATGTTATTTCCCATTGAAGCTCCAGGTACCAGCTTTAACTCCCATCATCCACTTTCTACACTTCTAAATTCATACAAAACGCATTTCAACTATTTGGCCTTAGTTGCTAAGATGACGAAGTGAAATAATCATGGAGGCGATGCATCCGACGGCCGGGTGGGAGAAAGTGGGAGATAAGTTTTACCGCAAGACCCAACTGTATACCGCGATATTCGACCAGGATCTTGACTTGGACAATTATATCGTTGCTGGTGCTCCATATGGCGGCGCTGTAGGTAAGCTGCTTTTTATATCATTACGTTTTATCTATGAGAGTTGGTTACTTTAATTGCATCGCTGTTCAAGGTTCAGGTGTACTAGGAGAGATAGCTTATACACCGCATATAGCTCTCATAAAGCATCGAAGCTCACTAACTTCGAATAGCAATATGTCGAGATGATACTAAAATCGTATCTTATCAGCCTTCTAAGTCGTCAAAGCCCAGTATTGACATATATAGTTGTGCTGGTAAGCTGTTGAAAAGCATTTCCTGGGATAAGGGTTCCATCAAAGGCCTTGGTTGGTCTGAAGACGAGAAACTTTTAGTCGTGAGCTACGATGGGACCGTGAGATGTTACTACAACCTGCAAGGAGATTTTACACAATTCTCCCTCGGTCGTGAAGCCGAAGATTTCGGTGTGCATTCATGTCGATTTTACGATCATGGTATGGTTGCCTTACTTACTAATAATATACTCATTTCTGTGTCCTCATACGATGAACCACGGCCAAAAGCCCTCGCATCGCCACCGGAAGGAGAAGTTTACGCCTGGGCTATCATCTCTCCGAGCTTCACGCTGTCTAGGTCGGTAGAGGTGCTCTTAAGCATTAACAAGACTGTCTATGTTGTGGATAAAACCGACTGTGAAGATCGATTCCTTGACATCGGCCCATTCTCACACATTGGCGTGTCTCCGAATGGGAAGTTTGCGGCACTCTATGCTACGGACGGGAAAGCTCACGTTATTACGGCCGACTTTCAGAGCCGGTTAAGCGAACATAATTCTGGGTCTCAGCTTAGACCTAAATACTTAGAATGGTGTGGCAATGACGCTGTTGTCATCGCATGGGAAGATGAGGTGAACGTTGTAGGACCTAACAATGCCGTGGCGAGCTACGTTTATGAAGGTCGCGTCCACGTAATACCGGGTTAGTCACGAAAAAAAACTCCCATTCTCCTACGGGTTGCTAATTTACGATAGATCACGATGGCGTACGATTAATTACTAATGATGTCTGCGATTTCCTCCAAAAAGTACCAGATGTTACAGATGAAGTATTCCGTCTTGGTAGCGGGTCGCCAGCTTCCGTCTTACTCGATGCTGTAGAGCAGCTCGAGAATCAGTCGCCAAAAGCTGACGATAACATTCAGCTTATAAGACCAAATCTTGTTGAAGCAGTTGATACGTGCGTTGCTGCTGCTGGACACGAATTCAATGTCCACTGGCAGAAACAACTATTGAAAGCTGCCTCGTTCGGCAAGTCAGTACTAGATATATACAATAGTGACGACTTCGTTGACATGTGCGAGACATTACGAGTGATTAATGCCGTACGATATTACGAAGTCGGCTTACCCCTATCCTACGAACAATATCAACGCCTTACACCCGAAGGACTAATCCAGAGGCTCATAAACCGCCATGAATATCTACTTGCTCTTCGGATTGCCGGGTACCTACGCTTACCCACGGACCGCATATTCGTCCACTGGGCTTCCGCAAAAGTCCGAATCGGTACAGAAGATGAAGAGACCATCTGCCGAATGGTGGTAGAAAAGCTGTCAGGAAAGCCGGGCATTTCCTTCGAGGCCATCGCCCGCGCTGCTTACGACGAGGGCCGCGGCCGACTGGCTACAGAGCTTCTGAATCATGAACCTCGCGCAGGACGACAGGTCCCGCTCCTCCTAAGCATGGAAGAAGACGAAATCGCGCTTGATAAGGCGATCGAGAGCGGCGACTCTGACCTAATCCTCTTTGTGCTGCTCCAGCTGAAGAAAAAGCTCCCACTAGCATCCTTCTTCCGCGTAATTAACGCACGACCGACTGCCACTGCGCTCGTTGAGTCGTCAGCAGCCTTAGAGAATGATAATGCGCTCCTTAAAGATCTTTATTATCAAGACGACCGCCGAGTAGATGGCGCAGGCGTGTTCGTCCATGAAGCCCTGCGACAACCTGATGCACGTACAGCAAACGATAAACTCGCCCTTGCCGCGAAGTTGTTATCTGATTCGAAGGAAAACTATTTCGAGTTGGCAGCTTTGAAGGAAGCAGCTCAGCTTTTGCGCATGCAGGAGGCTTTGGATCGAGACCTAACCGACACGTTTACCGGGTTAAGCGTCAATGAGACTCTATTCAAGTTGATTCGCTTGGGTTACCATAACAAGGCTAAGAAGATCCAAAGCGAGTTCAAGGTTCCGGAGAGGGTGGCTTGGTGGATCCGGTGAGTTGCTAAGACATGTTTATGTGTTTCTATATGAAAATAGTATCTAACAAGGCCCCCATTGTAGACTTCGAGCACTCGTCGCGAAACGGGACTGGAACGAAATCGAGGACATTGCTAAGAGCAGAAAAAGCCCGATTGGCTGGGAGGTAAATTCGTCTTCCCCTTGTTTCTTTAGTCCCCCCTCTAAGTAATTCTATACTAACAGGCCACCATCTCTAGCCGTTCTTCAACCAGATCCTGCAAGCGGGCAACGCCAACCTTGCAGCCTCCTTCATTCCTAAGTGCACGAATCTGGAAGCTGGGGCCGCCATCACCATGTACGAGAAGTGCGGCCTACGCGTTAAGGCCGCGGAGGAAGCCGTCAAGGTCAAAGATGCCGATGCATGGGCTCGTTTGTTGGATGCTGCCGGTAGAGACACGGCAGATGGGAGGGCTATCGAGAAGTTGGGGGCACAGGTGTTTAAGAAGTAAGCTAGGTAGATAGATGGACTCTGATAGTAACGGCCGTACAGAGAATGTGGCAGTTATATTAATACAAACACTGTTGATAATTAAACATTCTAGATAAGACTTTCATAATGTAGCAAACATGAGAGATGTCATATTATATGCACGAGCACAGTCTATTAGAAAATCATTTTCGCATTCATTATCCCGACGTCTATGTGAACATTATCTTCTTCTCCTATCTGGCTACCTACTCGGAAGACCAGGGACGAAAAGGAAACAAGGCTTGGTCTTACAAGCAAGACCACCCCCTTTCGTCCAACAGACGGGCGAAAATTAGAAAGAAAAAAACAACAACCAAATACAGAAGAGAGAAATAAGGAAGTGCCCTACCCGGCCCACAAACTCCTAACTGGACTTTTGTTTAGCATCCGGGGAAAAAAAAACGAACAACAGGTTTCTCATGGCACGTCATGGCATTAAACATGGCGTAGCATAACACACAACGACTCCCAATTTCTTGGTACCTGCTTCATTTTTGCTTCACCTCCTCATCTCGCCATTCTGCTCTGCTCAACGAGTTCCCTTTTCCCTACCCTGGTCCCGACCTTTCACGACGAATAAAACGCACATCGCAGACACCAGATAGATACCACAACCACAACCACATGGAAATGAATTCCTAATGCCATCCCTTCCTTTTCTATGCGGACATAGACCGTCCTGAGTAGGGTCGAATCCCTGTAAACAATGACCCACAAACACGGAAAACCGACGAAGATGGAGGTGCGCGACGCAATAACAACTCAAAACTTGTCTCTAGATACGCCGGCAAAGGCATACATGTAGCAGCTGTACAGTGCGCTGTTCAGTCCTACCAACGATATTCCTTGTAGGAAGGGGGATTGGTATATACGGTGGGGCAGGTGGCAGACGCAGCAAGCAGATCAACCTCATAACGCGTACGTACGTAGTAGTGTAATCGTCACAACAAAGAATAAAAAGGGGGGTAGGTAATGGGAAAGAAAAAAGGATCACAAGTTTTCTTCGTATTGCAAGTCCATAGTATTATGGTGTGCCAATGAACTCCCCCCCTCCCACGAGCCTGAGCATGGAAGATCTGAATTTTTGTACAGTGCTAGCTTCGCTTAAACACGTCGGGCATTACGGCCCTTTGCTTTTGGTACGGTCGTCCAACCATCGGGATCCGCAGCCGGGGCGGCTTCGACTTCTGGATTAGGTGACGAGGGTTGAGTAGGCTGTTGGGGAGAGCGAGGTTCAGAATGACCATTCGCTCGACCACCTCTGCCCTCGTAGTTGCCTCGAGGTCCTCGTGGTGCACCACCGCGTCCTCGAGCATCGCCGCGGCCTCGTGAGGCGTTGACATACCCACCACGGCTTTGGCGCTGCTCTCCTGATGATGATGTTCTCCAGTTACCGCTCTCGGTTGCTCTGGACTTTGCATTCTGGGCGCCGTCTCTGGATTTGACTGGTGCCTTCTGCTCTGCAGCTTCACCATCCTCAGCACTTACACCCTTCGGTTCCTCCTTCGTCTCAGCTACAACCTCGACCTTCTCCTCGACCGGCTCAGCCTTCGCTTTTTCCGCTTTCTCCGCTTCGGCAGCGGCTTTCTCTGCAGCTTCCTTTGCCGCAGTCTCCTTGGCAATACGTCGCTCTTCCTTTGCCTTATCATCCGCCTCCTTCTTTTCCTTCAGCTGTTGCTCTCGCTTCTCTGCGATCTCACGCTCTTTTGCCGCTGTATCAATAGGACGAGCGGCACCGAAGGGGCTCGCTTTGGACTCGCCAGTCGCAGATGGCAGTCCAGGAGATACCACATCCGGAGATTCGGATACGGTTCGCTTCTGAAGGTTAAGTCGGGGACGGCCTGCAGGAGCTGGGGCAGCCGAACCAGCGACCGATCCACCAGCAGGCGATGAGGGAGCCTCAGACCCATCACGAGAGCGTTCAGGAGACTTCACCAGAGAGTCAGGCTTCATATTGCTGCGCCACTGGTTGTCGCGCTCCGCTGCCGTTGGAGTGCGCTCCGGACGCTCTGGGCGCTCGGGTCTATCTCTGAATTCTCTGGGAGGCCGAGAACCTTCCTGGCGACCTTCACCCCAGGTAGCTGGTGATGCCCTGCGATCCTTTCGGAAGGTATCGCCTTTATTGGCATCATTAGTTCGGGGACGGCTGCTATCTCGCGATCCCTCGGGACGTTCAGGCTGAGGAAGTGGTGACAGGGGGCCCTTGCGCTCCCAGTTGCCGAAATCGCGAACCTTGCCATCATCAGAAGGTGCATCTCGGAAAGCAGGTGTTCGGCGCTCCCCGAATTCGGCAGGACGTCGATCGTTACTACGAGATGGGAGGTCCGCCAGAGGGCCTTTTCGCTCCCAGCTGCTAAGATCACGAGCGGACTCGCCGCCGAAACCACGATTGTCTCGATCCTTGGCTAGAGAATTATTAATAATTATTCACTTAATACTATTGGCACTTGGACTTACGAGGATCGGCAATTTTAATCTTGATAGTACGGCCTTGGAAGCTAGTTCCATCAAGAGTCAAGGCCTTCTTCAGACCGTCGACGCTCGCAAACTCTGCATAAGCAAAGCCTTTTGGGCGTTGTTCGATTCGATCTTCGATGATTCGAACACTGGTGATCTCGCAGTCCTCAAAGAATTCGGTAACAGACTCGGTCGTGGCTTCGTAAGATAAATTTCCCAGATGAGCGGTGTAAGGGGGTTTAGTTGGGAGCTGAGCCGGACCCTGGGTTGCGTAGGAATCGCGAGAATAGCCTTGGGGAGTACAAGTTAATTATTGATCAAGCAATAGCAGTTGATCATCTCGACTTACCTCGATCATTGCCCGAGCCTCCGTAGCTGGAATAGCCAGTTCGTCGTTCGGTGGAAGGCAAAGGCTGAGAACCTAGGGGATAAGAGGTTAGCAAAGTTAAGTCTATTTATAATAAAATCAAATCCCCGATAGGAATTATGACGTACCGAATGAGTCTTCAACTTCATCAGCCCATGATCCGCCATATTCTATTTTATGTTAGCAAAGTGACTCGTTCTCTTCGTCTCTCCGTTTTAATTATGGAATGATGGTACTGTGGACTGTGGACTGTGGACGGGGGGAAGATGGGACGAAAAGGAGACGGGAAGAGGAGGGCGAACTGACTCTCTTCCTGCAGAAAGGCCCCAAGGCTCATCTTCTGCTGCTGTTCCTTCTTCTTAGGCGCTGTAACACATCAATTGTTAGCATGTGATCTCTTGCGGCAGGGTGAGATTAATGGGCGACAACATACCCATGATTGCGGTGTTTTAGCCACGCGCAACGCTTGTCGAGGTCGTCGCGCGCAGAGGGGAGATGAATCGCCGAAGAAACTAAAGGCTTAGTTCTTCGGTTTAGTCGTTGAAGTGATGAGAGAATATGGGTTAAACGGTAAGGCAATAATGATTTTCACAGATGCCAGACCGACAATACGATTGGGACGATGTAAGTGGTAACTGAAAGTTTGCGGGATGGGCAAGGAGAACCGAAAAGTTTCCTTGACCAGAAAGAAAAAAAATGGATGCTGTGAAAAAAAAGGCCGGGAGGGTTAGCTTAATTTTTTTTCGCCAACGTATGAGAGATGGGGAGAATTAAAGCCTACCTCAGTACAAGTTGACCAAGTACCAGCAATTTTTCAACTTTGATGGCGGGGTTCAGCTTTTAATAAAGTTAAACTTCACACATTTATTGTGCGTTTTTATGTGTGATGTATTATTGTACCTTAGGAGGGGGGAAATTTTAGGTAATCCTGGGTACATAAATCTATAGTATGCACTACCTTGTTTTTAGTGGGATGTAGGCTGCCTCTAGGTGCACACTTACCTAAGAACCTTAGGTACATAATTTATTAATGTAAACAAGTACATATGTAGGTATTTATATATATATAAGGCATCTCTCTAAGTAGGTATTATATGGCACATATGCATACATATAAATACCTTAGTACTGATCAAGGCCTAGAGGGTTCGAGGGGCTCACCGATTCCGCTCCCAACTACATGTGCTAAATGTGCTAAATTGAATAATTATCAAGATGCGGACTGGACATGCTCGCGAGTGCCGCAGCTTTCTCTTGTCATTCATTGGCCAGCTTTTATTGGGCCATCGCTCAGGTACTTGGTCTCTAAGTACCTATCCTATTGATAGGAGACCTAACGAGGTTTGACGGATTGGAACGCAGGGATTTATTACCGCCGATGGCTGTGATGGATTAGGTAGAATTCATATTTTGAACTGGCTTACAATACCTACGATAATTCTCAACTTAGAAAACTTCCAATCAAACATGACCATTGATTGAACATTTAATTGATTAATTAATTGATTGATTGATTGATGAATTGATTGGTTGGTTGATTGTATAGGGAGTTATAGAATTTTAAATATTTGTGCTTTAAATTTATGCTCCAGATACGAATAATTCGGCTCTTGACAGCAATATTTAAACGCTAAAGAAAATATCCGTGCCATCACGTCTTTAGACTCAACCAACTGACATTACCTTAGCTTTAGGTAGTCTTATAAATCTACCTTGGTCTTAATAAAGGGACTGGCGCAACTTCGATATATCTTCAAATATGGTTTCCTCATCGCAGCAACCCACGCCTCAGGGGCCCTCATCCTCAAAACCTAACCCTAACCCTGAGGCTATTAGTCCATATGATAGGGAGATGCCATCAGCAAACGAGCTTATGGAAATTGCAAGCAAGTCATTGCAAACTGGAGTTATGGCCGGTAAAGTCATACCTTAGCTAGCGGACTAATGGTATAGACCTACTAACTTGAGTTCATTCAGGTGGCGTTGGTTTGGTGATTGGGGCTGGTTCTGGCATTGTTCGATCAGCACCACCAGCATTATTCGCAGTAGTTGCCGGTCTCCAATGGTTTGCTCTCGGGTCTACTTACACGGGTGAGGGTTACCATTCTTTAATCTTATATTTCTAGTCATTAATCAATATACAGCTTCAAGGGATCTCCTTTGGCATGCCTGGGGTGGTAAAGAAAATCTCACCACATTAGACCTAGTGAAGTCGAGCGGCGTAGCTGGTGGTGTGGCTGGGATGGTCGGTGGCATGTTTCGTAAGTCTTTCCGATGTCTATACATACTATATTCTAAACCTATGCTAATTACTATGTAGGGGGCCCTAAGAATATTCTACCAGGTATTCTAGTTTTTGGCACCGCTGGAACTGCTGGTGCATACCTAGCTCAGCTTTTCAAGAGCCAGTCCAAGGATGATTCCAAGGCCAAGTCGGGCTGGCTTGATTCAAAATGGAGTCCATTAAAACGATTATCAGACAAAGAGTATGAAGAAAAGCTCGAAGAAAAAGTTCTCCGGATAAACGCCGAAATCTCTATCATTGATGATAATATTGCTGCTCTTCGAGCGTCAAGCGGAGCATCAACTAAACCAAGCGAGGGGAATAAAAAAAATGACAACTCCTAAACTATCAGCCAATACGCTATGTTGTTTATTACAATTAACTATCAGGATTTCTCTACTACATGTAGCAACAGAAAAGCCTAGATGATGTTATTGAATAACTAGAAGTGACCAAACTCGGTTTATATTAGGTTCTGACGGGAGGAATTGGCACCAGAAGTAAGACAATATGCAATATGAGACATTATCACAATACCTATATATGCTCTGATGTAATACTACAGCTTGAATTATCGCCGACTTTGCCGACAATACTTCGCTTACTTAAAAGGTGAGCCTTGCCAAGCCTTTAACATTACAATGAGCATTAGCTGCCGTGTAGCAACACGTGCAACTCTTCAAGGGTAGGATACTTATTTAACCTACCAGACGGCGGTATCAAAGATCTTCATCACTATCATTGTTAGTCTTGATCGTACTGTGACACATTCAACGTAATAGGAGTTCGGTATGCCAATTATATCGAAAGATGTAAGGCTATGTAGGTACAAAATGTTAAATGCATGGATATGACCTCAGCATACGTCATTGCTTGTGTAGTTGTGTAGACAAAACCATCCCCCACATATGATAATACAAATTAGATGCGCTCGCCTCAAGCTAGCTATTCATATCCAACCCATCTAGGTTATTCATTCATACTAAACCAATTGCAATACTCCCTACCTTACAGACCCGACATAGCTTCGTTTTTATTAAAAGGTAGCCAAGATGTCTGATTCGCAAGGAGGCCACTCGTCTGGACTACCCCTTGACTCGAACCAACATAGTCAGGCACAGTAAGTTGTCTCTCCCATCTATTCCCACATATGAAATAGCCACGAAGGTCCAGCAATCCATATGATATGCCGCTAACCTCCCCTGCAAACCAGAAACATCATCGACGAGACCTCCGCGACACACGGCAACACTACTCAGTCAAATCTCGAGGCCAACATAGAATCCCACGACGAGGCGCTTAAGGACAAGGTTGACGGCGCTGTAAGGACCGGCCCGAAGAAAGCCGACGAGACTACCGGCGGCAGAGTGCAAGTCGGCGAAACGGGCGACTTGCACGATCTTGCTGCAAAGAGGCAACCCTAGGAGAAATATTAATTTATTAACTGGCTTAGCTATGTGGCAGGAGAGCATATATGACACTGGAGTTGGTTTGTTGGTTTGATTATTTCGATATGGGAAAGAAGGTATAAGTACCAAGGCATATCAGAGGCACGGTATGTTTATTATTGCTCTTGGGAAGCAACGTGGTGTTTACGCCTAGATAATAGTACTAAGGACTTTCAGTCTGACTTTGAGCTTGAAGCAAGGTCTATACACAAGAAAATCCGAGCAACCTAAGGAATACAATTTGACATTCTACCCGAAACTAGGCCCTAGAGGGAAATGAAGAGTAGGAGGAAGCTAAGATATTGTAACACGTGTATATAACGAAGATATGAAATTCCTATCGAGTGCATAGTATACATTGAGCCCAGATCTACTTAAGGAGGGGTTGAGAAGACGAATTCTGTTGAAAGACTTGCCCCGAGACCGACCTAAGATGTCGATACAACATCATAGCACGTTCTATCACTTATCATTGGGATAATAATTTACTGATATAAACAAGGTTGATAAGATGTAGACCTAATATAAATAATCCCTTCACGTAAACCCTTCCCTGTAGATATAGAGCCAACTATAGGTATCGTTGATATATATTACCGAGGGTAACAGTAGGTAACTTCGACATCGGTCACGGCCATTTTATATCTGTTATCTTTCCAGCGTACAGGCATATATATATATATACCTCGGCTACTCGCGGTAACGATTCTATTTGCCAGCTATCACGTCTTTGATACGCAATCCGACAAAGCCAGTTATAGGTAGGGAACTATAGTCACCTTAAAAAAAATATCGAGACACGTGTCATGATATTCGATGAATAATTAAGAGAGCTAAAACAACCGTAATAACCCTGAATATACTCCAAATTACCAGAGGTATCAAAGTCCATTAATAGACGCATACACACATACACACATGAAAGACCGAAATGAGAATATCCGGACCCCAACCCCCGCAGCTTTCTCTGCTAGGTAGGTATCCCCCTTGACCCATACCCCTTAGCTCTTAGTCCTTCTTGATAACCGCGTCGAAGATCTCCTTCATCTTCTTAGCGCTATACTTCTCCTTCCGTTGCTGGCCGTCGGCGTAGTTGACGTAGGTGACGCCGAACCGGGTCTCGTAACCCTCGGCCCACTCAAAGTTGTCCATCAACGACCACGCCATGTATCCCTTTACGTTGACGCCGTCTTCGCTGGATGCCTTGGCCATCGCGTTGATGTAGTCGCGGAAGTACTCGTATCGGAACGTGTCGTTGAGGATCTCGGGCTCCTTTAGGTCGTTCTCCCCCTTGATACTTGTTCCGTTCTCCGTTACGTAGATCGGCGGGTAGTTGTACCGTTTACTGAGCCAGTTAAGTAGACCTCGGAACCCTTCCGCGTTGGGGCGTAGCCAGAATGATTGCGTCTCGGGACCGATGCACTCGCCGTTCTTGCTGTATGGGTGAGTTGATAGGTCACCTAGGAAATCCTCCGGTGCCGGGTTGCCGTCGCCGTGTTTGACATAGTCGGCAGTGTAGTGGTTCATGCCGTAGAAATCGTTAGAGCCCTTAACTAGAGCTAGCTCTTCAGGTGTGAACTCCGGCAGTCGGTCACCGAGTTGCTTTCGCATAGAATCGGGGTACTTGCCCAAATAGATGGGGTCAGCAAACCACGAGATGGCAAACTCAATCTTTCGGTTGGCAGCTTCGACATCTCTCGGGTCCTCGGGGTCCCACGGGTATGTATAATCACCGTTCAGAGTGATACCAATCTGTCCCTTGTCCTTAGGCTTGAATTCTTCGCGGTATACCTTTACGGCTCTACCGTGAGCAAGGAGCAAGTTGTGGCCGACGATCCAAGGCTCTCGGCTGGAATCACCGACAGCGGACTTAGCTCGGTTAGATGTGTGACCGGGGGCGAAGAACCCTGTACTGTATCCTAAGATAGAACTACACCAAGGTTCGTTGAATGTGATCCAGTTCTTGCATTTAGGAATCGACTTGAAAACGATGCGGGCGTAGTGCTCAAAGTCGAGTGGGAATTCTTTCCTATTCAGAAGTCCACCATATCGTTTGTCAAGCGCATCTGGGACGTCCCAGTGTAGTAATGTTATGAAAGGAACAATACCAGCTTCAAGTAGGTCATCGACGAACTTGACGTAGTGGTCAATACCAGCCTGGTTAATGGGATCATTACGACCACCGAGGGGGATAATTCTTGCCCACGATAGAGAGAAGCGATAGGCAGTAGCACCCAGCCTCTTCAGGAGGGCGATATCTTCAGAAGTTCTGTTGTATGAATCACAGGCGACAGACCCGTCAGTTCCATCTGCAATCTTCCCCGGAATAGCACAGAAAGTATCCCAGATAGTTGCACCACGACCATCTTGTTGGGTTGCGCCTTCGACCTGGTAGCTATGTGGGGAGAAAAGCTGAAGTCAGTGACGAAATTATTTTAGTGTGTGGGTAGGGCTAATATATCTAATAGAGACAAGGAGCTCGGTAGATAGTACTCACGCAGCTGTAGCGAAGCCCCAGAGGAAATCTGAGGGCAACGACATATTGAACAAGCGCTCTGAATTTTCAAAGGCAATAAATAGAATATCTAGGCTATTCGAGATTGCCCACTAGCGTTTCGATTTCGTCCGGGAAAATGGATATATACTCTGATGCCCAGCCAAGACTTCAGACGATCTCACGAAGGGTATATAGAGAGAGCAGAAGACGTTTGATGACTGTTGAGTCGAATCAGGCCGAGCAGAACGACTGCTCGACGTTGGAATGGAGGCCAACATCTTCTTTATACCCTTGTGAGGTTTTAGGCTTTCAGAGGCGAGCTCGTCTGCTTTTCGATGTATAGTGTATGACCGGCACTTTCCCCTTTCTCCCGTATCGGACCGTGACGACCGAGAACAACAGGCTTGTACGATGATGGCTGTATCTCCAAACCATTCATACCCATTCTAGCCATTCATACCCACATAGGCCATAGCAACCATCTCCGCCGCGGGGTAATTGGAGCTTGTAAGCACACAGGCAAAGAGACAGGGTCCAGTTTTTGATTTGGGATGTCCCCCCACAAACGAACTCGTCATGTGCCGGAATCATATTAGATCCCAGCGACGGCCCGTGTCTCCGGACACCAAAAGGCACATGTCTATCTAAGTCTCGAGTCTTGGCCCTTTATGCAGCAAGGGGCTCGTAGAAACTTCGGCGGTAAACCCGAGTGGGTAGATACAATAGTCCCCATTTTGAACAGCGGTGTTCCTTGGATTCGGGATAGTCACGAATTGATGAGTGGCGGCGCTAACGATTCAAAAGATCGATCTTGGCTACCCGCCCTGCCTGCTCCGTTGGAATGCGGCGCAACATCCCTTCGCGTGGAAGGGTCCAACTTCGAGAAGCGGAGGATAGTCCACGATCGGCGAGCTATCCGACTTGCGAAAAAAAAAAAAAGAAAAATCAATAATAAGCACTTGCTTAAGAATTGTACCCTAGAAACGGCCTTAACGTCAAATTCGATAGCTTGGGAACCGGTTAGTTTATGCCGAGTCCCGGAGATCAATGTTGTCGTACATACATGATGATTTTTCTTATACGTTGTTTTGCGGAATATTTTTCCTATGTCCATTCACCGACTATCATCTCGGTCGTTGCAGAAAGATCTCGGCCATAATTACTCGATAGTTTGAAAATCACCTGTTTCGGGCTTACCCAATTTTCCTGACCGAGTCAATTCCCTATTCGATACAAGTTATTCTCTTAGACGGAACCTCGGATCTCATTGACAGATCACTAATGTGTATCCTTGCATATAATGAAGGCTTCAACATATGATTCACGTATCTAGTCGCCGTGTTGCAGGAATAAAAGGCACTGCCTGCCGCTAACTGGAGAACTCAGGAGGAAGTGAGCTTGTTTCCGACGGAAGCAGTACTTATCCTATTTCGAATCGATCCTTTTTTTTCTCGCTAATGCTTTATAGTTGTATCGTCCGGTAACGGGTAGATTCGATCGGCCGCATGTACGGCGACCGAGCGATCAAAGTGATGCCCTAAGCAGTATTCCCGCCCTCTCCATCATCAGCTTCTCCGCGTTTTCTCTTACCCGTCGTAGGCGAATCATAGAATAATACCGTCTGTCCTGTTTCGTCCCCTGCCGCATCATCTCCCGCCCATTCTGTGATTTCGTACTCGACTCGAACCTTGCCGTCTCGACTTTCCCTAACACCTTTTGTAGTATGTATGTTGCCTAGACGACTACCTAAAATCATGCTTTCAAACCATGGAATACCAGCTACGTCTCGTCCGATCAATTGCGAATCTTGGTTGGATGCACGAGTAGGTACAATATTCATAGGGTCCAATTCGGATTCGTCGGGAATCAGGCCTAGATCTTCCAGGTCACGAAGATCCTCGGTTAAGAGGCTACCCAGCGTCAATTGAATATAGTCGGCCTCACTCCTAGGTTCTTCGGACCAATACGATAAGGGAGTCCCGCAGAACCCGCAGAATTGCCGCATAGCATTTTGTTCAGCGGGGTGGGAATAGGCACGTTTAATATTAGCCCGAGACTCGTCGGGGAAGAATGGAAATATTTGGCTATGGTACCACGAAAGCGGAACTCTAAGGAAAGCCGAGAGAGGCGTCGCTGATGAGACTCCTATCCATATGCTACGTTAGCTCCGCGTGTATATTGCAACTAACAGGTAGATGAGAGAACAATATGTAGGGTTCATCAAATTTATACTTACTATGGCCTATGGTTGAATCAAAGAGGATCTGAGCTCCTCCAGATGAACCCCCGGGTATTAGGATCGTATACTGATTCCTGCCGCAATGGCAACTTCCTCGTAAAGCTCTATCGGAACTCATCATGTATCTTTCCCAATGATTTAAATTTGAGGGACGATATTAAGTGAAGATCAATGAAGCTTTAGTTGGCAAATGAATAAAATCGCAAAGGGGAGACAGAGATGGTATTGCTATGAATTAACTAGTATAAATCCTAATATGTATATTATGTAGAAGTTGGAATCGTCTGGAATGACCGAAACCGTTCCAATTCGATAATCTCGTGTGAAAGAAATCATAGGTGATGATGATTCCAGAATGTTTCGAAACATTCAATTAAAGAAAGGCGCGTCATAAAGTGGGCTGATAACGTTAGCCCCACGGAGGTAGTGAGGTAATTCAACTGGCAACTGCTTGGTACATGTATGTACTTTGCCCGTTCCATCTGATAATTCGTTATTGCAATTAGCCAGATAGACTGTAAACTCTTAAAACTTTATGTAATATACCTAGTAACTAGGTACCTAACAGGTATTTTACCTAAGGTACCTAGGTAATTACATTATGGGACTGGGGGGATCTATTGACATTATATTAGCAACAATATCGATATAATTACATAATTACAAACCTTTAACATCGTATCAAAACCATATTAACAGGTCGATATAATATTTACAAAACTTATTATACTAATTTTATTACAAATACTTACAAATTAATACTAATAAACAATATATTAAAATATTATTATATTAAAAATATTATTTATTTTATTATAATTATTAAACTTATTAACAATATTTAAATAACCATTATATTTATAATAATGTTAAAAATTTAACATAATATTAAATATTTAACATAATATTAAATATTTTACATAATATTAAATATTTTACATAATATTAAATATTTTACATAATATTAACTTTAAATATATACTTAAATATATATAAATTAAATAAAAACTTAAAGTATATATATATATTATAATAAAATAAACTTTAATTGTAATAATTTCGTAATATAATAGTAAAATATATAACCTGTAATTTTATAATAATATTTTAACGTAATTTTTTTAATTAATTTTTACATATATTTATATTTATATTATATGTAATATAAATATATAATATATTAAAAACTTTGTTAAATTATAAAACTTTTTATTTTTTTATATTATTTTAATATATTACTTAAGTTAACATTATATTTTAATTTAACATAACCTTTTATATAATATATATCGATTAGGTAACCGTAACTATCATTAATAACAATATTTAAAAAGCCACTTTATTTTAATATATCAATATTTCGAAAGTAATACAATTACAACAAAATATAATCGTGTACGTAAGGTAGCTATTTCAAACTTAATCATCCTCATATTTAAAATATAATCACCCCTAAAGGTAACCATATTAAATACACTAACCAATCAACTAAGAAACTAATTCTTAAGCAACGCACCTCCAACATTATATCTACCCCTCAACACCAATGCTAACACTATGTCAATAAACCCCCCCAGCCCTATAATATACGGAAAATGATATTTAAAGAAAGATAAAGACTTCTATATTAACCTTGCCGTACTCCTATCATTAAACACAAATTATAGGACGCTCATCGAAATCAGAATAAATACTACTAGGTAGTTCTAGTTTCAACAAATATCCACAGTTATCTTTCATGAACCGGCTTTCTCGTCTCGTGTAGCACGCTCGCATTGGTTGACTCGGCTAGAACGCCATGATTTCCATTCCCCGCATCTCGGAGATTGTCGTCCAGCTCATCAACAGCTTGATTTTCCTCCTGGGTCGTAGCTGACTCAGCATCTAGGAGCCCCTTATCGGATCGATGTAGCCACCACTTGAAGAATATGGTGAAGAATTGTGCTATAAATACCTGTTCCACCGTATATAAGAGTACCGGCACTTGAATAGACGAGATGGTAAAATTGTCGAGCTGAGACCACATGGCAGCAGCTAACGGGATCCCTACGCTCGTGGTCTTTGCAGCTCCGCAGAAGCAGACAGCAACAACAAGTTCTTTGGGCATCTTTTTAACCGTCACAACCCTCCGAATTACCCCAGGTAGATGAGAGCCCAGTCGTGAGTCAACAACATAACCATTGATTACCTTAGTAAGGACCTCCGGTGGCGATGCTACCCAATAGCAAATAGCAGTAAATAAGATATATTCTGCTATGTTTATAAAAACATTGAATATTATAGACGATTTGGGTAAAGTAGTGAGTGCCCCTGTCTGGAATGCCCCTGAAAAAGTCGACCTAACAGCATAAGTCAGTTTACGTCGAATCCTATATAGTCTTCTTTGTTCCTCTAAAGAGGTTGGTCTACTTACCAAGCTACTAGCATAAGCAACACGGAGCATAATTTTGCTAGGTAAAATGTACTCAACGTCCAAGACACCTGCTTCGGAAATGTCCATCTTAGACACTGACCAACAACGAGCGGAAGAAGAACGCTGAGCCCCAATTGCTTCATGACGTTTGCATACATTGGTCCTAAGGTATCTACCTTCGCCGGTTTGAGCGAGTCAAACTCGCCTCCGCTAGGAAGAAATCCATATATTAGCCAGGGTGAGAGAAAGGATCCGACAACATTGCCAATCACTACTTCGATAATAGCAGCGGCTTCATCACCACCCGCATTCCTCGTCATTACCACGTTAGATGCGATGGTGGTCGGGATGCAGCTAACCACGACCATTCCAACGAGAATGCTAGCATCAATCGTCCCCGAGCTCACTCCTCCGGCAACTATTATGATATGAATTATGACTAGCACAGATCAGCAAACCGACATAACATGGGAACGCAAGTAGAATTCCGTACCAAGTTGAATAACAGGTATGATAACAAGGTTTATTCCTTGTACCACAATGTGCAGACGCCAGTTCATTACATGTTCCTTGAGTTTTGCTGGACTAAGTTGCATCCCATTGATAAAAAATATCAAGGCGATGCCCCCATATAGGATAGAGTATTCTGACCGGATGATACCACCACGGGCCGCAACATCTGAAGGATAGATCAGCAATAGAACACAATACTGAGAAATATCCAAGTCTCTACTAACATACCAGGAAAGAAATATCCTAAAACACAAGCAAGACCAAATCCCAACACTAGCCAATTACTCCAGATGAACCCCGAAACTCGCTTGACCGCCTGAATAAACCTTGGGCGTTCTTTCGTAACGGCGCTCTCATGAGCTCTAGAAAGCTCGCCCATTATTTCCGGCCCGCTCTCACTTGAGTATCATAACCACTGATCTTAAGTAGCAACCGGGTTAGTACCTGGCTTGAGTGGTGATCGCGAATACTTAGATGATGATCGAGTCTAACAAAATAAAAATTTGACATTTTATGATGACCAAAAGAGGTAGGTATTGACAAGGTTACGATGGATACGACTTAGAGCACGCAACAGCTCCTATCATCGGAAGGACGCCAGAGTTAATCCCATTAGGCTAACCCCTATCCCCGATTCCGACATCGAGAAAGGATCCACCCGCAAAACCACATGGCGTTCCCATTTACTTTTCGTGAGACATGACGATGGCGATCTTACTACTAGGTATGTACTGCGTCGAAAAACTTGAACATTAAAATAGAAAGATAACCTTACGTCATATGAGATCAATATATAGCAATGATCTAAGGGATGAGGGAAATTTTATTTCATCTCGAGATACTTTTGCTTCTAGAATATTTTTCCATCTTCTACCGGCCCGTCGCTTTCGTCGTCCCGTCGTCATTTTCTTTCGCTGCTTCCATCCATCTACTAGTTACCCTATACATACATGTCTCAAACCCTCTACAAGGAATAATTCGGAGAATGGTCCCTGATACGCGGGTTTCATCAGTGAAGATCGGCAAGGTCTGGACTTCCGAGACCTTGATCCGGAACAGAACCCGTTCAAACTGAGCTGTTTGTTCGAGGTAATTATTAGTTAACTGATCTAGAGTTTTTAAAGGTCCGTCTATGAAAATTTCTCCGCCGGTTGACTCCCGATTTAGAGTAAGCTCTTCCCCGTTCCGCGCCCATTTCCGAAGGTATCATTTTCTCCTTCCGGCTTTGCTTCGGAGCCAATACTTCAACGGTCTCTTTTCCTCTTTTGGACACCATTCATACGAATTATCCTAGGTTTCTCCTATATTCTACGCCACAACCCACGCAGACTGTGTCAACATCTTATATGTTACGCGATATTAACGCTTGGATTAATTCTAACTGGACAACTTCAACCTCACCGGATCATGACTTGCTAATTTGGCAGTCTATCTGAAGTAAATGTGGATGCCGTTGCATTACACTCACCGTATTCACCGACCCATGGGAGATGTCTCCAATTCTGCCATGCGGTCCCATACGCTTGGGTATAGCTTGTAGGTTTGTTAACCGCGCCGGTTCTCTTAGGAACTCGGGTCCGGCGCGGAACATCCAACGTTGTATTCCAGCATTCAAACAACAGCTCTTCGTCATCGTCGCTGCGACCTTCCAGGGGACGAAACGTACCATAAAATCCTCTACTTTGTCATTTACCAGAAATAGTGATTCGCTTATCGGAAAGGGTGGGTGGAATAAATGAACGAACATCTATTGTTTACTTTATTTTGCATCGAGTACTTAGGACACATACGTAGGTACCTAGGTAGGCAGTTCCCATAATTCGGTAAGCTGCTTATCAAACGACTATGAGACTTGAGTATTGGTTGCCTGTTAGATGGATAGACTGGAATTTTTTTCTCGAATCAGATCCGCTCCATCGTCCCGAGCCTCCTAAATACTGAGTACTAAGACAGAGTCACATTTTGATCAACCTTGGCGTTGATACAAGAACCCCGCCTAAGAACACTACAGGTATGCTTTTATTACAAGGCTGTGAGGTAGCTAGGTAAATATATAAATGCGGAAACCCTTTGCTCTTCATATAACATACTCGCCAATAAAACTATATGATAATTTCGGGGCATTTAGAATATATAGGTTAGGTAGGTAGGTAACTATATGTCGTACAATGTACTGTCTGGTTTTATGAACT